AAACAGGCCATTTCTCCCTCTTTGCCCACACCTAATGCAAAACCTGTAAAAATGGCTGCAAAAAGTGTGAAGCAAGACTGACGACCAGGAGCAAATGAAACCCCAGTGCTCTTTCCTGATGGAATTATGTGAGGTGAGAACCTTGCCCCAGGCAGGACTAATTCTGTATCTGTAATGCAGCTACTATTTGTACTAGGAAAGTCCTAGCACTGTACGAAACACATTAAAAAACTCCTATAAGTGTTGATGTAGAGATTTACATTTCCAGCACGGAAGGCATTTAAGTCTGTAGTTCAAACACCCACTGAATTCAATGGAAATTTTATGTTTAAATATTTCTCAAAATATAATGCAATACAGCCACAGGTGAATCACTAGAGATACTAGGTATACTATCCATATTTACCTTAAGAACAAGTGTTATATGTGAAAAAATTTTGTAAAATTTTTTTCTGGCTGTGAAATTTGAAAAGATAGTTCTTGGTGTAACAAATATTTTTCTGTAGCAACAACACTTTTAGCTGCTGGCCTAAGAGAAGGCTGGTGAATAAACACATGAGAAAACTAAAAAAATTGATTTCCTGTAAATCTCAAACTAAAGAAAGTCCTAAAGGCTTTGAAATAACATGGCATCTGAAACATGCCTCAGTCTTTCTGAGGCTCCAAGAAGAAATATTAACACCTAGAAGAGATTTGAGAGGCTGTCTTTATTCCTCTTGGGAATCTAACTATAGAGGCAGGACTCGACAGACAGCTTTCAGTGGAGCTTGCCCAAGAGACATTTGCTATTACATCAACCAAGGGTATCTGTTTTTAGGAAACTATGCAGAATTCAAGTGGTCCATGGTCATATCACTATTTTCTTGCTCAGTGATAAGACGAGGCCATACAACTCACTTTCCTAAATGACTTAATGAACTTACTGTCTTTTCAGCAGTTACATCAAGACTGCTTAGCCATAACTATAAATAAAATATTATGTTGTAAAAAATTAGGAGGAAATATTTTCAAAAGGAACTGAAGTAGATTCTGTGTCTGATAGTGATTTAAGTCTCAGCCAAGAGGTCTTTCCTTGGAGCTACTGACTTCAGAAAGTTATCCACAGAGACAAAGGTGGTTCTGACACATTGATGCAGTTACTTTTACAGATTTGCTGTGGGTTTAACAATCTGCCTGTTGCTTGCAAAAGCACAAGAGATGGGCTTTTACTAAAAAGCCAACTAAAGAAAAATGAGTCACTCCCAGTCAAGCCAAATTTAGCACCTAGTATTTTCTGGTTTGTAGAGCTACACCATTAAATGCTTTTTTCCCCCGTTAGCTCTGCAGTGACCTTGCATACACTAAGGGCAGCAGAGCAGAAACCAAGCTATCCATCAAACTGCTCAAAAATCCTTAGAGTTCAAAGGCTGCCTTCTCCCATCACTTAACTAGGAGGAATTCTCTTGCAACAGAGAGAGTGACAAAACCAGCACAAAGGAGGTCAGATGCTAGCTCTTTATCTATATCTGTCTTCACAAGTGTATGTTTGCTGACCAAAATCCTACCATAAAGTTTCTGGTTTTGCAATTACAAATTAGGAAGTCTCTGTTAACCTCTTCATTTTCAAGACTGGGATTAAAAGGACCTTTTCTATTTAATTCTCTCAAGGTATATGGGTCTCTGGCATAGAGGAATGTAATTAATGAACCAAAACAGGAGAAGACAGGCATGATCAAGCCTGCTGTAAAACTCAGGAAGCTCTGAATTTCTTGTAAAGAATACCAACTATATCTACAGCCCTGAGGCAGTGTGTCTTACAGTAGTTAGAAGTACGCTGCTTGTAACCTTGCTCAGGCACTCATTTTCAGGAAGAACCTCAGGACACTGCATAGTAGAAGCTGTTCCCTTGCTGCTCTTGCAGCTTGTTGAAGACGAGAAAAACAATTAGTCATTGCTGACTTAAAAAAAATACATATCCTAGATTCTGACAGCAAAACTGGGCAAGAGGGGGACTGAGGGAAGAAGGGAGGAGAAAGAGCGAGAGATCAAAAAGGCTCACTTTGAAACAAGAAAGTCAATGATTTGGAAAAATTTGGCACTATATTCAGAATCTTATAGATCCTCCTGCTGCCAAATTTACCCAATTCTAATAACCTGTAAGCATTAAAAAAAAAAAAAAAATCTTTGTACAGTGCTCCTCTTGCTCCTCCTGCATGGCTACTCAGACTTCCAAGAAAGCACAAAACAGCAATTACCAGAGCAGACCATCGCCATTCTACTACCAGAAGTGTGGTTATGCTCTCCTTTCTGAATTATCATGCCTTCCAGACAAAGCCCAGAGCAGCACATGAGATAGCAAAGTAGATTCAGAAATATGGGGAAAACATAGCTGCATTTGATTGCTAATTCTGGCATTTGCCACCAAATAGCAGGGAATTGGCTTCACTGATACTGGAGATCCTGAGTCAAAGTACAGCAGAAACATGGGGCCTGATCCTTTGATGGTGTGAATAGTTGGAATTTTGCCATTTTTTCCCAGATTGAGGATTGGGTCTCAAAAACACTCTTGTTTTCTTGTAAATGACAAGAAGGAAAAAGTTGTTAGTTTTGAGAGGGGTGTTTTATTTTGTTTAATCTGCAGCAAATGCTACTACTGCTTCAACTTCTTTGTTTATTTTCAGTCTATAAAGGAATCAAATTAACAACCTAGTAACCAACCCATTCTTTCTTTCTACTGAGCAAAGCTTTGAAATCCTGGATGAATTTCTGCACTTTTCTCAAATTTAATAAGTTTTGCTCAGTTAGGAACAGCCGTGCTTAGCTCTCAGTAAATGCAAAGATGTTTATTTTATTTTTAATTTTATTTTACTATGGGATTTCAATTCTTTGTCTCTCACTAGTAGCAGTTCATATTGCTGCTTTTCCTTTTATCTCAATGTTTCAATCAGGTGGCTACTGCTGTAGGACATAGGTCCATAACTAGCAGTAGTGAAGACAGAGGCCAATATCTGAAGACTTTTCCCAAGTAAATACAGAAGGCGCTTGAGACACAGCAAATGATACAAAAATCACATTACAACACCTTTAAAGTGACTACCAAAATGAGGTCAAAAATACAAGTTAGATGCACAAATACTATTTACTTTTAATGTAACTTGTGCTCTCAACTTCCTCTGATACTGAAAATCCCACTTTATAGTTTTTGAATTGTACGAAGAAGGAGGTCTGTTGAGGAGCAAAGAAATTAATTTCCTTCCCCTTAGATTTCATCTCTTTGAAAAGTGCAAACTCTTTCAAAGATAGGCTGGAGGGAGAAAGGGGGAGAGGGAGAGTGGAGAAGAACATTTGGAACTGTAGCTTCGCATCTCATTGAGGGGAACAATTTATCAGAGCTGTGGAGCTGTCAGTCCTTGACATGATAAGGAATAACACCAAATGAGTAATGTTTCCTCAAAACCCAGCTCCTTTAATTACAAGCCGCTTCCTTGCAGAAGAGAGACAGAAGATGCAGAAACACCAATTTCATGCACTTGTGCCTGAATAATGTCTCCGTGCTGCCTTTTCCAGATGGCAACCTTTTCACTGGAGGAACTAATGATGTGGGCATATTTAGGGAAAAACCAATAACGGAGTCTTTAACCTTCAACAGCAAAAAGCATGTTGTACAAAATGTTCCTTGGGATACATTTACAAATATCAATTACATTGCTCACTGAGGTGTAATCAGCTGTAATAATCAAAATTAATTTAAAAAAATAATTAAACAGACCCCAGGGCAAATAGTCGATGCTCCTGTAGTATGACATCACAGTCTACATATGTACCTGGGAAGAACTTGCTCACTCTGTAAGCAGCAAAGTGATTTTAAGGAATCAGAAGGATGCTGTGGCATGCTGAGAAAAATCCTGCATCTCAGCAAGATACTATCAGACATGTTACTTGTGTATCATAGCCTTCCTGATCAACACTCCTGGAGGTGAACCAGTCATCACTGGGGATAAAGCTGCAACCTGCTACAGCTTGAGCTGGAGGTTTAAGACTCCCTAAACTGATGCTGTAGCATACTCACTGTTCTCCTCATCAGGAGAAAAAAAAAAGACCTTAATAGGTACAGCACTGCAATAACACAAGTTCAGTACAAAGCTCTGAATATTCTGTCAATGCACTGCTGCCCTACCCTATAGCAGGTTACTCTAGCTCTAACACACTTAAACAAGTAACATCCAACTGGTGCTTTTTATTTGTGTTCTTGACAAATGCCCAGAAAAACATGGAAAACATGCTGCCCTACCCTATAGCAGGTTACTCTAGCTCTAACACACTTAAACAAGTAACATCCAACTGGTGCTTTTTATTTGTGTTCTTGACAAATGCCCAGAAAAACATCCTTTTTCTCAGCAAAGGAGGAGCTTACACATGGTAAAGATAATCCAGCTGCATTGCTGACAGTAGGAATGCCACACACCCTCCAGACCCATCCCTGGTGCACTTGTCTTACCTCTTGAGGTTAAACTAAAATTTGGACCTTAAATACTTCATATTGAGTAGAAAGTGAGAGGACAGTACTATGGTAATACCTGATCCTTCCTACTAATTCAGTGTCTGAAGGACTAGGTTTACACAAGTGATGTAAGTCAAAAGCAGCAGCAAAGCCAGCATCTCCTCACCTTGCTCTGATCCAAGCAGAGGCCTGTGAGTACAAGCACACAAAGATTGCTTAGGTTTATTCCTTTTAGGTGCAATAATTAGGCCTCATGCAAGAAGTATGCATTAATACATTGTATATTAAGGCTGCCAACCTAAGTTCTTCAGATCAATGACTATTTCTTAGTGATTCTTTCTAGCAGTCTAGAAAAGGAATCTTAGCTGCAATAGATGTCTAGTTTATGCAATAGATGTCTAGTTTACAATGGAACATGTCAACAGACATACTTAGAAGTCTCCCAAGTCCAGACAAACTCTCCAGAGCCATATCAAAGGCAAGGCCAGTGACAGAGACAGACAAGACAAAAAGAAGTTACCTCAGATCTGCATGTTATTTCCTTTGTGTTTCGGCCAGGCATCAGCCTAATAGCTGAAGAGAGGCTTTCACTCCAGGAACTGTGCTTGCTCTGTGACTGGCCTGGTCCTGCTTTATTCTGGAGAATCTTCTTTTCAGATGCTGTGGGCCAGAACAGGAAAAAGCAGCCTGTAAGACTTGAAGTTGAGCCTGTAGGAAGGTAGACTGTTTATATCCATGTTACACAAGACACAGCAACATGGCAGTGCCTCACTCCAGGTGGCTTGTCCTTCTATTTATAAGAGGAGCATTGAATTAACATGTACTTCTCTAGCATTTAAAAGCCTTACAGACATCTGCCATAGACCAGTATCATTATACAAACATGAACTTTGAATCCCCGCAGCACTATACACATTGGGATGCCATTCTTCATCCAATTATCTTCCCTTTTAAATTCTCTAATGGGATACAATTATCTAAGAAGATTTCTCTTTCTTGCAGTATAGCACAAGCCCTACAACATCTCCAGATGATTACAGAAGGGCTGGGGCATGACACAGAAAGCAATCACAATCCTGGATGAGAGAAACGGAATCTGCTTTATCTAGCAGGTGATGTACAGAGGAAGGGTATAACCAAGGAATCAGCAGCTTTCCATTAACTGCTACATTTACCACAATGTCTTTGCTTACTACAAGGAGTGTTCCATAAAATAACAGAGACCTATCAAGTGTTGCCAAGCTTTTGTCATAATTTCTTCCCATAAAGGAGTGACCTCCGTTATCTTCATGTCCCTTTCTTTGTCATTTCCTTTTACAGAAAGATCCATCTTGTAAGTGTCCTCCAGAGCCTGCCGCCTCTGTGAAATGAGCTGCTTCCAGATGATTTCTACTGTTCTCAGAATCTCCTGATGGACTAGGAAACAAAAGAAACTACAAATGAAGAATCATTTTTTGTGTAAGAAGTCAAGCAACAGATAAAGCAAAACCATCTCATTTGGAACAGCACTAGTCCAGAGTAACTGCTGGAACAGCACTAGTCCAGAGTAACTGCTGGAGTCAGTGAAGTTGCTCCATTTTGTCTACTGCCTCCATAGGTTCTAAGACAGACTAGTTAGTCTAATACAGAAAACAGCAGGGCATTTCCTTTACTGTATTTCAACTCCCTGAAAGAAACAAGTAGGAGTGACAGATTATTCTAAATGGTTTCTGCCTTGGAAAACCATTTAATCAGACTTCTTATGACCTTATTGTCATACAAAGATTATAATGCTTTACAAGGAAGTGCTGAGCTGTTTTGCTCTATTTCCCTGCAAATCAGACTTATTTGGTTGTATCAGGGTTGTTGTACCCCCACACTGAATCCTGCACAAATTTTTTTTCCCATGTTTCTCTTAAAAGATCAAAATGTCTCTTCCTGTGTACAACAGACACAAGCTCTGTAGAGGCCTTGAAAAAAGAAAGAGAGCTACAATTATTATGTAGCTGGGCACTGATACTGGCCATAACATAGGGTAGAGATGTCCAAACTGATATCCATTACTCTTTAGGATGTGGGGTTTGAATTTTAAATAAAAAGGTATGATGCGAACACAAGTAATTTTTAGCACAACCTTCCTTTCTCTATGCTGTGCCTGCGATACCTATGCACTGAAGAGGCAATTAAGTAGCACTTGCACAAGATGATCTGGTAACTGTTTATGTCAGGCACCTTCCGGCTCTGTAAGCCAAAGGCAACATGTGTCATAAATTACCATCATCTGGAGTAGGCAGGCTGCCCTTTTCTTCTTCACTGGGTGCAAGGAAAATTTGGTGATACAAAGGCAACTTTGGTTTTACATCCACCCCAAAACCTTCTGGATAACTGTGAGGGAAAGAAAAAAAAAAGGACATGTGAGGAAACCAGACTGAACAAACTGAGGATAGTGGAAAAAGCTAAACAGTATTTCTCCTCTCCTACTCCTACTAAATTCATTTAGTAGAGCAATATTCCCAGGCTTGAGGGCTTGCATCAATCACATGATATTGAAGAATTCACAGGAAGTGGGAACTAAACCCCTGCCAGTCTCACTTTCAAAGTCAAGGAGCATTCATCAATGTTGCACATCTTATCTTGTACGTCTTGCACATGCACACGTGCAACACACTCTGTTGCACATCTTATCCCTGTACTACTTAGTGCACTTGTATCTACCATTCATCTCAATTAGGGCTGTACGGGTGTAGCCAGACTCCATCCAGGTTTCTTGCACCTCCTCTGAGCATTTTGTGTGCTGTCTCTTTGCCCTTGAACTTCTTCACTAGAGGTATCTTCCATTATGTGGGAAACGCTGCCTTGCTGTAACCCACACCTAAACTGCTTACTTAGTCTAAGTTCTTTGTGCCAGTGATTGTTCACTCAGTTTCTAAAGCACTCAGCACAAAATAGCTGCAGACTTTAGCACCATGACCTTAGTGTCATGTAGATGTGATGATAATTGAGCACATCACCACAGCCAAAAAGAGTTAGTGTTACTTTGGGGTGTGTGTGCGGGGTGTGTGTCAGATAATTTACCTGTCAGCAGGTAAAAGACACCAGGAATTTCAGCACAGCAGTAATACTTACAGTAAATGCAACAGGCTTAGTTAAGCCATCCAGACAACATGGACTTGGTCACAGAAGTGCTGTCAATAATACATACATATCATATATAGCCACTAGTAACATACTACGTTCTTTCAGCTGTAAACAGGCACTACTACATGGGAGAGTCAAATCTTTTCAGTATGCAAAGCTGCCATTTTTATTTCTGATTTTCTTCTAAATACCAAAATACTGATTCCCTGGGTCTGCTATGTTTGGATTTTGGATAACACCAATACTTCTGTAAATTATTTTTTAAAAAAATGTTTATGCTCTTTCTACAGATGAACAATCCTTACCCCAACTCAACAGTTTTGGCCTGAAAATTATTATCTGACTAGAATAAGAACAATCAAGAAAAGACCTCAGGAAGTACAGCTCATTTCTGATGTGATATTGTATTAATGGATTCAATTCAGACCATCTAAGCAGCACAGAAGGTTTTAATTGAAAAAACCAACATCATTATAGTGAATAAAGAACTAGCCAATATTTGCTTCTTGACGAAACAGTTATCCAAAATAACTGCCCAGCTTACATTAGCAAAAGTACCTCTGACATATCATCCTTAATAATAGCAAACAGAGTGGATATGGATGTTCTAGCCTCATCCAAGTCAATGGCAAAACTCCCAGCTTCAGTATGACCAGGATTTTGCAGCTCAGATCCAAGTATCAACAACCATAACAGAAAGATTCACAAAATCCATGCACAGGTTTATATACGATTTAAGTGTACCCACACAAGGATAGCTGCTGGATCAGAAAAAACATCTCCCTAAATTAGTGCATGCAGATGTCTCAGAGAATGGCCACCTGCATGCTCGTGGAGTGATTCTAGCCCACATCCCAGGAAGATTTCCAGATTCTCATTTTAATGATGGGCTTGTGAGCCAGCTCCACTGAAATCAGTTCAAGCTTGTTAACTGCAGTTACTACTCCAAAGTGAGTAAGCTGCTGGAAATGCTGGATGAGTAAAACAGATACACACAGATGTTTTGGTTAATAAAGAGTAGCAATTAAACTTGTGTGCAAATTTAAGAGTTCTGCTCAGACAAACATGCAAGCTCGTCTGGGCGTCTCTGAAATGAAACACCCTTTTCAAAAATGAAAAAAAAAACAAAATTAAGCATTACATTATTAAGATCCACTGTGCCTTGCTTATTACACCCACAGACATACACACTAGCCTGCCTCTGAGCAAGAGAGGTAATAGGAAATTTTCTGCTCCCTAGTGTTTCAAGAAGAAAATAGCCTTCAGATTGAAGAGCAGTTTACCTCTTCCACTTTGTTGCTGTAACACAATCCATTGCCTCTAGAATACTGAGCATGTTAGTAACCTCCTCCTCCTCGTCCAAGTTAAATGACAAAAAATTACATCAAAACATTTCTGTTGTTGTTTTTAATTTTTTTTTAAGCGTACAAGGAAAACAACTCTCTTTCCTCAAGTGGCTTTACACTGTCACTTCAACAGACACCAAACCAGAGTGGAAGGTTTGCCCTGTTTAAAGCAGAATGGTTCTTTAAACCCCCAGAGCACTGAGCACGGGGTCAAATGCTTACTAGGATACAGTACATATACTACATTCAAAGTCCTTAGTCTAGCTGAATCCAGCTCAACTTCAGCTTCTAGCAATTCCCCAAAATGGATATTGCCTAGGTTTTGTGAAATCTCCCCCTCTGCACCAACTCCCATAGATAACAGCACAGAAATGTAAATAAACATTATACCGAGACGAACATTTGTACCTGCCCGAATTCAGTTGGCAAAGGCAGTACATCAAGCAGATGATAAAATTATTTGAATTGTAGGTTGCAAAAATAATGTCCCACTGCTCCTGCAGGACATTGAGAGTGTTCAGGATGTTAAACTGTTCAGGCAGCGATTGTTGTGGTCTAGATAGGCAGTATAGGATGGCTCTGTTCAGACAGCTGTATAGGGCAGTGAGGAAAACTTCCTTTTGAGAAACAGAGCTTTCTAAGACCTGTGAAAACACAAAACAGCAGAGTACATGGCTTGCTCAGAGAACTCTCTCCCCAAGGATCCGCTCCTCTCACTTCATTTAAGCTGTTGCAAACTTATTTCAGCAAAATTCCCCTGAACTACCTGTTAGATACAAACCAAGTTTTCCTGTGTTTCTGCTGAAGCCCCCAGAAGGCTTCATGGAGGAGATAAATTTATTCCTGTTCAGCAACACGTACATAGCCAACAGACAGTGACACAAAAGACCTAACTATCCCTTCTTTATGCTGCACCATCTAGCACTGATTGTCATTTAGGGCCATTATGTGCTCATGCAAGAAAACAGGAACAACCACAATCACCAAATAGATTAGACCCATCTTCTTGAGAATTGTGGTATCACAACCTCAGTGGAAAACAGAGCACATTATAACATGTTGATAACAGTTGGAAAAAAAATTTTATGCGACTCACCCTCATAATCTGTTTGGCAGTGAAGATCAGGATTTGCTTGGGGTCAGCAGCAAACATTTTGCTGTTCAGCTTCTCAACCAGCTTCTGAGCAAAATAAGCAATATTCATCATGGACACAGGTGCAGTTGATTCTGACGTGCCATGAGAATCACTGCTCCCTGGAAAGGATACAAGAGGGTTGATTATTCCAAAACAAGTTGAAATGCAAAAAAACAAAACAAAACAAAAAACAACCCCCAAAAAGTGAGATATGATGTTACCAGAGCTGAGAAGGAACAGTCTCATGCCGTAATGTCTCAGAGTTGGGAGATATCTAAGAAAACTCTAGATCTAGCAGAAACACCTTACCCAGACTGGAAATAACAACTCCATCCTAAGGACAGAACCACAGAACCAATCTCACTAAAATATTGTCATGAAGGACTGGTCCAACTAATGACTCAGAAAGGAGAGCAGTAACAACTAAGTTATCAGGCTTGTTTCCAGAAGGACTCAAAGATAAACCTAGATTTCCAAGTACTCCCTTTTTAATGTTCAGAATCTGTTCTCAAAAAGAGAGAAAAAAGTTAAGAAGCTCTCTAGAAAAATGGTAAAATTACAGTAAATTATGCAAACTGGCCAACAGCAGGAGTGAAGGGACAGTCCAGCCTGCTGAGCTGGGCTGTCCTTCTAGCTACTGTTTCCAAACCTTTCTACAAGTTACAGCTATATACCAAATACCAGCTAGCTAATGATCTGATTCTCACCACTCACCTCTTGGTCTTGTTTTCCCCTCACCCTGGCTGGTAACATGGAAGATGTCCATAGCAGACAGTAAAACTTTTGTCTGAAAATATCTCTTCTGCTCACTGGTGGCATCCTCTGGAGAAGCCTATACAGTGACCATATACATATTAGTACATGAGGAAAATCAGCCAGGAAATCAGACTCAAATTAACTTTCAGCCTTTTTTCAAAGGTCTTTGATTTCACTGGATCTTTGGCAGATGATGCCTGTCAAAGATTCAGATTCAGTAAAAGTTTTGCTCAAAGCAGTGAGTAGAAATTCCAAGAGACACTCCATACCATCTGAGATAATTCAAAATGCCCGACATTTCCCTTAAACACCTAGACACTGTGTTAGGAAGAGAAGGGGAAAAACAGCACAAAAAGAACAAGGACAACTATGCCACCTCACTTGCACACTTTAGCCCTTGGTGTGGGCATATGAAACAGCTGCTGTAAGTTGAGAAGTTATCTGTGACAGCTAATCCACAGTAACACATAAATGCAGAGATCTGGTGTACTCCTCCATACAAAGGCAACATGGTACCTCTCATACAAAGTTCAGCAAGAGTGCATGTGTGCACAGTTACTCTGCAGCAGATAAGAATGCATAACCTCATACCCTAGCTGGGAAAACAGGAAATACTACTTAAGTCTACACACTCTAGCTGATAGCCAGCACAGTTGCCCTCTGCACACTGAATACAAATGAGGTTTTGCACAGGGCCAGAACCTAGGTTCACAGGTCATTCACAAGAGATCTTATCCTCAGGGAATTTCAGCTCCATTTAGCACGCTCAGGATTCAGTCAGAAAAACCATCTTCTCTTAAGCTGTACCAAGCATTGGGATGTTATTATATAAACCTTTAGGGAGCTGCTGCTCAGCAAGATGATTTAACTCATGACAGTTGCAGTCAAGCTTACGTTCATTACTATTAGTATTACTAAGCTAAGTGTGCATCAGAACTCACATCTGGGACATCTGGACTATCGACAATTTGGAGCTGAAGCCTAAATTTTCCATTTTCCCTTTCTTCAGACTATTCTGACTCTTTCCAGTGATTTGAGGGGTTGAAATCCATAATCCAGACTGAGATGCTACAGCTTGCATTAATCTCTCCTAAAAGTGGAGACAGTTTTTTTTGGTTTATTCGAGCACTGAAAAGAAATTGTTGCCTCAAAAATCAGTACATGGAAATGCTCCATATGAAATCTTCTTCTGAAATCTGCAAATTCAAGGGCTGCTCTAATGACAAGCAGGTATTACTAAGGAAAAGGGAAATTTCTTCACGCCTTATTTCAATCTTAAACGTCGCCTGAAAAATGCCTTTGTTGTTGTTTAGTGGCAGCACTTTCTTAGTTCACATGAATGCAGAACAGGCAGAAAAGGCCTTTCTTCCTTGTTGAAAAGGTAAGAATTCCATTCCACTAAGTAGGCTGTCCAGATCTGCCAGGATGTCGTGCATGCTCTCTAAGAGCTGTGAACCCAGCCCCATCCTGGACTGTTGAAAATGCTGACTGAATACACCTCTTCGTCACTGTTAGCGCTTTTTTTACTAGGTGACTAGCAGGATACCTCCTGTCCTTCTACCCCCAGTGCAAGGTAGAGCAACAAAGCCTGATGACTACAAGAGAGACCTCAAGAAGCAGCTCAAGTGGATGCCCTTGTTTGTTTGCTGGGATGTTGAGAAGACTGTCCATCAGGAGGACTCGCACAAAATCCCACACTTGTTTCTTCGCAGGGTGTGGTAGGAGTGGGAGAGAGGAAGGATCAACACAGCCTTTCCCTTCAACAATGGCTGGGCCATCAGGTGTCAAAAGGCCTTCAGAGCCTCCCTGTGGAAGCAGACAGCAATGCATTTAAATTCATAATCTTGAAATTAATTTTTCCTCCTAGCAACCCACCTCTGATCTAAAGGGCTTGTGCTGGCCCAGAAGTACATACCTTGGGTGGTCCAGAATGGAAAGCAACCATAGCCAAAGTTTTCAAGAAGTCAGGACACTGCCACACCGGGTCCTGAGTATAACTGTGATAGATCAAGCACAGAAACTGGATAACGTTCCCTGGATAGGCAATCTCCCAGGAGGCTTCTGCATCTGCAATAGGCTGAACACAGACAAACATGCATCCAGTCAAGGCCACATTCCTCTCACTCATCTAAGCTTGTCCTTAGGTATTCCTAAGCAACTAAGCAAGCGTCACATGGCCACAAAGAAGCCAGGCAAGGCACAGGCAGCCAACTCCCAGCTTGTAGACTGAAGATACACCCAGTAAGAAAGGTGGTATATCCTCATCATTAAGAATAAAAAAAAAAAATGGGTAATGCTGTAAGATCCATCTCTGTGTTCAGAAGTTCTTAAACATGAGCCTATCACATTATCTACTATGTAACTTTATCGGGCCAATAGCTTTGCTGATGCTTTGAAGTCCCTGCTCACTGTTATGCTCAGTATTGGCCTGTGAGGGCAGAGGAAGGCTACGGGTTACAGGTAAAGACTGCCACCGACATCTGACACTCTCAGGCAGTTTGTTCTGCCATTCACACTGCACTGTACTTGCAACAAAATGCTTACCTTGTCCACAGTGACTCTAACCATCTGCAGCAGTAGAACAGCTGCCTCTGCACACAACCCAATTTTGAGGACATTCTCCGTAAGGTGGTGCTGCAAGATCCACTGCAACATAGACTCAAGATCTTTCTACAACAGGAGGAGAGATATTTCAGGAAAAGATGGGAATTATATATGATACATCAAGAACAATGCCCACTCTCTCCACACCAGAAAGAAAACAAAATTTACTTCCAGCGGCTCCTCCATCTCCTATTAAATATGTTTCCCCAGGATAGCACTAATGGATTGTCCTCTTCTGAAATACATATTTGGCATTGCTGGGGCAAAAATGCCTTATGGCTTCTCAGGACACTGAGGGAAAGTACCCAAAACCAGTAATTCTGAGATTTTAATGAGTCTTGACAATGTAAGAACAGAGAGGGAAGCTAATCTGAATTATCTTCTAAAGTACAGCAGTTAGATAGCATTTAACACCTGCATGAACAAGTTTGTTGCAACCACAAATTTCCTTAAATCAAAGTTAACTTTCTTTAAGTACGAATGACTAATTTTAACTGCCACAAAAACCAAGTAGGGTTAACTTGCCTGAGAATCCTCTCATAGAAAAGGCCACAAAATGCCAAAGTAATAAAGCAATAGCAGCTTCGTGCTTGTTCACTGTTTTTTTCATACCTTGGCTGGGTCAGGTGGTTCAGTCTGTGGCATTGCCAGAAAGAGCCCTGCCACGAGCAAGTAGATCTCCGGGATGTGGACATGATCAGTCAGACATCTTTGCAACACAGAAGTCCCAAAAATCAAGAAGGAGCCATTATCAGGCACTGGAGGATGAGTTTTTAAATTATCTTTAAAGGAAAAGCAAAGGAAAACATTCTGAGGAAGTGTCTAAAAATGAATGCCGTATCAGAGGAAAGATTACTGACCCAACTTTATCCTCATTTGTGGCCTGTGTCCCAGGCAACTCAAGTACTCTGCTAGGCTGCATTATCAACAGTTTACAAAACTTCGTCAGACTAACAGATAAAAATTTTTCCCACTATCACTTTTGTTACAAGAGATTCTCCCTGAATTATTCTTCTTCCTTTCTCAGAAGCACAGGTCTAGTTATCAAAAAGCAAGCTGAACAAATCTTAATGAAACAGATTTCAGGGTACAAGCTGACACGTGAACAACTCCCCAGCTTATCAACTGTCCTGATTTTATGCAAGACAAAAAGGCCCATGTCCCTGCAACTGCTAATCAGAAATGCCAACTAGCATGCAAGGGAGAAGCAATGCTTTCCACTCCTCAGCACAGAAAAGCTAAGTACTAGGACAAGTTAGTCCTAGTAAGATGTGGACCTGTTAGAGCGGGTCCACAGGAGGGCCACAAAAATTATCAGAGGACAAGATGGAACACTTCTCCTATGAGAACAAGCTGAGAGAGTTGGGGTTATTGAGCCTGGAGAAGAGAAGGCTCTGGGGAGACCTTATTGCAGCCTTTCAGTTCTCAACGAGGGCTGATAAGAAAAATGGGGACAAACTTTTTAGCAGAGCCTGTTGCAATAGGACAAGGGGTTTAGGCACTGGTTTTAAATTAAAAGAGGGGAGATTTGGGGCACTGGTTTTAAACTAAAAGAGGGTAGATTTAGACTAGATATAAGGAAGAAATTTTTTACAGTGAGGGTGGTGGAACACAGGTTGCCCAGAGAGGTGGTAGATGCCCCATCCCTGGAAACATTCAAGGTCAGGTTGGACGGGGCTCTGAGCAACCTGATCTTGTTGAAGATGTCCCTGCTTGTTGCAGGGGGGGTTGGACTAGATGGCCTTTAAAAGTCCCTTCCAACCCAAACTATTCTATGATTCTAAGCTTGTCCTAGAAAGTAATATCAATTCTTGGTCTACTGAGATCAGTGGGAATTCTCCTATCACCTACTTCAGTGATATCCTATCACTGAGCTGGATCAAGGGATTGTTTTGGAAGCATTAAACTAACACATACCCATTAGAATACTTAACCCCACAGAGCTGTTTTCCAGCCAGCATCCAGCTACTATCCCCTCCTTGAATTTGTTCAGTAGCAAACGATTGTGGAGGAAGCACAAAAGTAGCTTGATTCCTAGCACAACTGTGCTAGAGTGCAGGTAGCTTTGTGTGAACAGCAGAAACCAGTCTGGCCCCAGCGCAAAAAATGTCTCTTCTTGTTCCCTAGGACAAACAGGGAAATGAAAGCACATGAAAGGAGACATGGTGAAAGACAGAAAGCAGATTTTATGTAAAATTGTCTTTAAGTGATTTAGAAGCTCAAGTTTCTCTAGAAAAAAATCTGATAAAATATTTACCACAACACAGAATTACAAAGATTTAACAACAGGCTCATCCACACAGTTCAAGTCACTAAACCCAATTCCCAATTCAATTCCCACTAAATCCAACCTTATATTACTGTCAGACAAAAAAAAACTCATTAACATGAAGCTCATTCTGAGATAGTGTATCAATAACTGAGGTAAACTACATCACGGGCTAGAATTTTCAACGTATGAAATCCAAAATTCTCGTTTAAATTTTGAAGTCCAAGATAAGTTAACTAGTGAAAAAGCACAGTTCCAGCACCCAGCTCTATGAACTCTGCCTTTCAGTTATACAAACTAGAACTATAGTACCTGCATGTTCACGGTTACAATAGAGGGGTGCAAGTAATCCCACATTGGATTGAATTGATTTGTAAAGACAGCTGGGATTCCTTCAACCCTTGCAATGCAGAAGAAACAGCAATATCCGAGTTCCTCCTTTCAGACTTTTTCTGAAAACATGAAACTTTTTTCAAAATGGAGATCAGATATGTGATCTGATCACACATCTCTGTGAATGCCAGATTAATCACTGACAAAAAATAACTCTGAATTACTATTTTGTTGAGACTCAAATATTATTTGCATGTTTAGTCCTGGTCAAACACCAGTAGAGGAAATCTAGAAGACAGAGACACTTACCCACACCTTCCTAAATTGTTTCTACTTACTCAGAGGACAGATGAAGTTTGTCTGAGTGCATTACATCTAACAGCATCTTCAGTAACTGGTTTCGAAGCCAGATTGTCTTTCCAGATGTTTGGTTTAAGGCTACAAATATCAGAAAGTAATAAAGAGTAATGAAGAGACAAAACACATGTTCCATTGGTTTGATGAACAACCTTGTTTGTACCAGATTAGCCCAATGGAAGTGCTTATATCAGTTTTTTACAGAGCAAAAAGATGCAGACATCAAATTTTAGACATAATAATTCCTGCTAACATCAGAAATGACCAGTGTTCATATTGCCAAAGTCCTCTCTTTAGAGTTACTTAAAATTCATCCAGACTACATGTTGAATAATAATCCACAGGAAGTAATCTCAGGTTACCTAGAGAAGGAAATGTAAACAGGCAATCTGACTTGTATTGCCTAGCTGTGATGATGTCTATATATATATAAACTACAGTTATCAGTGTCTCCTTAATATAAAATATTGTTTAGAGGAGCAATAACCAATATAAGTCTCAACTGAAATATCTCAACGAAAGAGCCAACTGACTGGAAGTTCCCACTCACAAAGTTGACATAAATACACAGATACTTTAAAAGTTGCAGAGCTCCAAATTATTATTGGCTACAACTGTAAGTGTAGCAAAGTGTTCACAGGAAATTCAGGATGCCAAGTGAAATTTTATTCCTTGTAACAGCCCAGTACTTTAGTTTTGGGGCAATTTCAATTTAATGGCCTTCATCTCTGTATATATCTGAAATCCAACATTGTGTAGGCTCTGGACAATGCAGCCAAAGTACTGATGGCTTATTAGCAGAGAAAGGACAAAAGGGGAGGAGGAGGATCTTGCTGTAGGTCAGGCCTTCCTGGATATATACACAGTGAATGTCACTTCACTATTCTTCACATCAGGTCTTTGTAGAAAAATAAGTTTTCCCCACAGTTTCAGGTCACCTCAGTGCAGTCTGTCCCTTTCCAGATGAATTCATTTGAATTGTGTTTCTTCCTGCCACTGGAGGCAGAAGCACTGTGTTGCATTTAGGGTTCATCATGCCCTGAGGAAGAAGGGTAATACTTTAGCTATCTATCAGAACATATACGTTAAAGGTAGTTCCTCACCTTCATTAGGCATCTCAGCCACACCGTCCAGGCAAATCTGATTTTCATCCACAGAAGAAGGTTTCAAAGTGTAAACAAGGAATAATCCAATCCTTGCAGAGAAAGAGGGAAGCAGTTTTGGCCAGCAGACAGACAGACATTCATTTAATTACTTTGAGATTACATGCAGATCTCAATACTCATTAATGATAACTGTTAACAACAACCACTGGAAATTCTAATCACTGCAGAAATAGGAATGCAGAAGTTCATAAACTAGGAAGCAAATAAAAAGGACATCTATCTACAAATGCAAGTAATATCTATTCTACTATGGAAACATTTTTGTCTATGTCTTGATTTTAAAGGTCTTTCACCATGAGGAAAGCAATACTGAGTTAAGGACTGTATTGATACAAAAGATTCTGAACAGCCTGTGGCATTCAGGTATCCCTTATCACCATTTGGTTTCCAAGCACAGAGAGGAGAGCAGAGATACCTCAGCAGGTACCCAGGGAGGAGGACTGGCAATCTTATTTCACCTGTAGTTTGCTTTAACACATTACCTGGTTCTAAGGATAAATACCAAATACACATTTAGTGAAAGTGCGTGACCTCCCCCTGCCCACAAGAAGGACATTTTTTAACAGACAGAACATCACTTGTTCTGCAGGAATGGTCCACACAGCAATATCCATTAGATGTGTCAAAGGTCTGGGACCAGCAGGAACCCCAGCAGCTTTCAGTGCTGCTGAGAGCCTACTATAGTCTCTGGTCTTCTAGAAATGGAAGGATAGAGACTGTCTTTATCCACTTGCTCAGCAATCATGGGCTTGACAACCACTCAAATTACCATGGAATAACAAATCATGACATTTTAAGAAAAATGCTCATTCATACTCCTTACCACATGGCAAATTTGACATACTAAATCCACTACTCACATCTGTACAAAAAAAGAATAGGCTAACTCATACAAGCCCACAGTAGGAACATACATACAGGTAATTCCACAAAACAGCTGGCAAGTAGTAAGTTAATTTAGTAAGCCTACTTCACAGTAACTATTTGAGGTGCTCCTACTCCTCAACAGAGCTAAAGGCTGACTGCAGAAACCACAGGTTCAACATGCTGCTTTTTTTTCTACATTTCGTTTGGATTAAGAGCTTTAAAAACAGAGCTGTCATTTGTGCAGTGCATTTCCCCAGCATTAGGTGGCTGCAGACAGCACTGTGTGGACCTTCCTCAGTTCATAGGCTACAGGCTGATGCAACTAAGCTGGGAATATGAAGTGGAGCAGTGTTTACATTCTGTGGAAAGCAAACAAAGATTTAAATTCTTTGCTTCATGAAATCTTGACTGACATATGTTAACCGATTGAAATTCAAGAACAAGAAGGATAGTTACTGGTATTAATAAGCCAAGCCAACAGGATTGGGTACATAGTTGACTGGGGCCAAGTTGCAATACTATAGCAATTGCAATGTTTTAGGGGCAGGCTTTAATGAAATCAAATGTTAAGTACAGACTTCGAGTAGTACTAGTCATACCAGCAGAACTGTTTGTGCCATCATTGTAAGAGTCATCACTCAACCCACCCTCACACAAGTATAAGGTTGGACTGAACTCTTGTTTTGAAGGCATGAAAGTTTTTCATTGGTGGGGATTCCTGCAATTGCCAGAGGGAGGGAAATTCTACTATAGAGCTCTCTCCAACACTGGCAGGAGTATAGCTCATCTGCAGACTGAGAAAAAGCTGTAGACTTGATGATTACCTGAGAACATCCCTTGTGTTAAAGTATCCTTGCAATAGATGTGAGAGAATAGTGCAGGCCACAGTAATCCTGGAGTTACTGATTTCAGGATCATTGAAGAGGAAAATGAGCTTGGGCACCATTTGCACCTGGTAGGCAACTGCAGCATTCTGACATCCATCTCTATAAAAAAGCACAGGGACTATTAAGAGCTTTTACTGGAAAGAACAAAATTTGCTGGGTTTCAGCTAAAAGGATTCTCAGATCGCACTGATACTTTGTACCTTTGGCTTCTAATGTTGCCTTGGCAACATGTCAAACACTGTCAGACAAATTGAATATGTGTCAGTGATGGAGATCTGAAGACTTCTTTGTGTATTCTCTACTCTTCCCATCTCTTCCCTCACCCCTGAAAACTGCTGCATTTCAATGAGTTCAAAGAAAACAACATTACTGAATTTTCAAGCAGTAAGTTGGTGGTAATAAATGTTATTCTTGTAAAACTCAGCAAGGGACAGCAGACAGATCTGCATAGAGCTTTCTGGTACCAAAAGGGAGGAATCTAGCATCCTGCTCTACTCAGCCACTCTGACATACTGTGTCTCCGCAGTTACATCTAACTCTAGTATAGCTGATTAAGAAAGTATACCACAATTAAAAAGTCTTCCTGGGTTGTGTTTTGGTTTTAAACACAACTTCACATATATTTTTTTTCATTATTTCATACTCAATTCAAACATTCAGATTTCCCCTTCCAAGCAGACATTTTAACTTTCACTGTACAGCACTGGTTCCATGTGAACGAGGTCATCCAGATAGCTTTTCCCAGTCTGGCCCCCCAGTCATCTCAGGGGCTGATCAAAGCACTAATTACAGCCTTGAAAGAGCAATTTAGGAATGATTCACTCCCAGAGTCCACTGATTCCAACTAAGATTGGGCCCTTCATATCCACCTCACAGTGCCAGCTTCAGGTTACAGATGAGCTTGTCCCACATGTTTCTGATTCAAACACTAGCTTATGTACCTGGACGACTGCAAGATCTCCACAAGATGTGAAAAAAGAGCAAGGTCAAGATCCTCTGGTGTTTTCATCCAAAGCTGAAAAGAAAGACAAAGGAAAGCAGAGGTTTTACTGCTCTGTTAAGCAGAGCAGGTAGTAATCTGTGGCAGAAAACCAGTTACAAGTAGTTCAGGGAGGACAACATCATAAACTCTCAATTGTTTCTGCAATGACAACCTGTAGGCACTGGGAAATCCCTGCCAGTGTGAGTTGATACTTCTGAGCAGGGCCTGAGGAGCATGCCCTCAGGATCTGCAGAAACACTCTAGAAACTGCACGGGGGCACAGTGGGGAGCCATAGTGACAGAGGACCTGCCGTTCCAGGACCACCTCCCTAGGTGAGCCACGGTGTAGAAAATCACCACACGCCACCCCATCCCAAATATTGGATCCAGGAGGTGCTATGAATATTCAAAACCTCATACTATAAAGTCATCTTTAATATAGTCAAACACACAAAGTAACATCAACAGTTTTACCTCAAAGTTGCAGAGAACATACTGGAATGCACTATAATTCTTGATGACTGAGGACTCAAAGCCAAGCTCAGCTGTGCCTACTAGGGAGAACATTAATTGTAAAATCCTGTTGTTTAACAGCTGTGTCTTCCTCTTCAATAGATAGGACAGCAACTGAAAAAAAGATTTAATATATATATTCTGAGTATAAATCTGTATTTATAAACTAGTGTATAACATTATTTTTAATTCAAGACAAACACACAGTTTGCTTGGCTGTAGTAGTCATGCATGCATACATATTACATAAGCACCATGAAGAAAATTAAAATTTCAGTCCAGGCATAAAATTTCACACAGTAAGTGAAAGGGTAGGTTTCTGAAGGAGTTTGACAGCTCTGTGGCACTGAACAGGAGCAAAATACATGCCTTATGTTGAATGGGATTTACAAAAAGCAACATACAAATACAATTGTAAATAACCACAGTAGGTTTTCTACACTATTCTTCACGGATGTATTAGTTGCTTGCAAATGGTGTTAGTTTAAAAAAAAATGTGTTAATGTTGACCTCTTCAAATGAAAGACATTTGCGTGAAACATTGCTAATCTCTCAACTGAGTCTATCTTTAATTATTCAATGAATTCTTGATACAGTGAGAAAAATGTTCAGGAAGCCACAACATTTTTAATAGGTTGTGAGGAATAGACATTCATTAGAAAATAGATATCAAGACACATTTTTATTAGTTGGCTGTTTAAAAAACAGGTTCAGACATCCAAAGAGCAAAACCACTCCATTGCAATATGATGATCCGTCATGTGGAGAGAACACTATTAAGCACAAAGTCGAAAGGAACAGCTTGTACACAATCTGAAGGCTGGCATTCTCCTACAAGAAAGGATTGGGCAAGCAATATCTAAGTATGATAAATACATTCATATGAATTGGGATCAATTTATGAACAATTCACAAATTGGGAAAAGGGAAAGTTTGTAATAAGTCATTCATGAAACCCTCATGTTAAGATTCTTGTTTGGAAACATCTCTGTTAAAAAGTCTTCTCTGTTCCATAAGACTCTGCTTAGCCTATACAGCATAAAGTAAATGATACTGGACTGAAACTTCACACTTGAGCCTTAACCTTATTATATATACACATATAGTGCTTAAAATTTGCCCTGGTTCTCCCAAAGCCCCGAGTCAACCAAACTCTTCAGTCTGCATAGCTTTCAGGTTTGAAAGATGTGTTTAGGACAGATGTAATCAATATAGCTGGAAATCCAGACAGCACTTATTTATATCAGCACAATTTCTAATACACAGTGAAAGCTGAGCCATAGGAATTCATTGTCAGCCCTACACTGGGCAGTCTGTAAAGAGGAACCTTTGCCTGGATAAGCCAAGGGGAGGAAGCAGACCTGACTGAGAAGTGGTTTCTTGTGGGAGGGATCAAGTGTGTTGGTAAAAGGTGAAGGGTGGGTCAGTCAAATCTGCTGTATTGACTTTACTAACTATAGTCATCTTAATATGGTCAGCATGACACCTTCCATTATTACCAAGTGGCTTCTGTCCTCACCTTCCCATAAGCAGATATACTGTTACAGAGGTTCCCAGAGATTATAAGCACAGGATTTAGACTGTAGACTGTAAGACAGGATGTAGCACTATCCTATACACCTCTCTCAAAGATCTCATAACTTACAAAGTTCCAACCGTAAGGGCTGATAGCCAGGATATGCTTGGTTCACCTCCATTAATAGGTTTGGGGATAAGACTATACCCAGAAGGAATTAACAAAAGAGTATCTACCTGGTATCCACCCATGTGCCTCATCAATTTCTCACTCATTGGGCTACTGTTCAGGATGGAGTTCAGGACTTTGACAGCTGCATACATAGTGTGGTCATCACGGGCCATTGCAATGAGACCCAGGAGAATGGCAGGGCCTCCAACGAAGTTCAGGCTAGTAGCTGCTGGACAGGACTGGAACACTCTTACCCCTAGGAAATTGCAGCGTTACTCTACCAGGAAGTGACATGGACTAAATCTATTATTGGACAGAGAAACGCCCAACTCTTAAAAAAATCTGAAACATTAAAGCATAGTGCATTTACCATATTGGCCCACAGCAACTGACCCAATAGTCCGCAAGGAACCCGATAGGTGTCCAGCAATATTTTTAGCCAGGAATATTGGAGTTGAACTGTCCCGAGAGTTAATCCCAATCTAAAACAGATAAAGACAGACATCCTAAGAAAAAATGTAGTAGTATTGGGCAGACAAAAAGTAACGAACAGATGCTCTAATCCTTTAGATTATTTTATTACTTTTAGACTATGAAAACCATTTTTTCCCCTTCAAAGCTGTTTGTTAGGACAAACATTCACCCACCTAAAATATCACACAACCCCATTACTTCAACAGGTCAGTAGGCCTGGCATTGGCAAGAATGTTAGAATAGCATGTGAAAGGTCATCGTGAAGGCATTAAGAAATCACAGACCGAAACAAATTATCATTAAACCTGAAAACTGTGGCTTCTGTGGCCATAGTTCTGTTGCTCTTGAAATACAAGAAAGGCTTTTAACATTGTGGTCACACTGTACAATTTATTCCTCTCCACAGATGAAAACAAAACCATGAGTAGAATGGAGTTAAGCAATGGAAAGAGAAGGCGGAAAAAAAAAAAAATCACTAAAGTTACACAATTAAGACAAAGTCACAAACTTTGCTGTAGGAAACCAATCAGAAACAAAGGAAAATGTGTTTAAGACAAATGAGGGAAATTTATGACCTCTTTAGCAATCAGCCGGCCATCCACTTCATTGTACGAGCTCTTTATATCTTGGACTGTAGTGAGACATGAGCATGTGGCATTGATTCCAAAAGAAATCTTCCCTTCTGCCACCAGAGGTGCGGGATTATTATCACTGTAATGGTCCTCACCTAAAACAAGAGATTATAAACCTCTGAAGAAACTTTCCATGCTCAACATGTGAGACAGGAGAGAGGCAGATGAAAAATAAATGGAGGAAACCGAAGTTTAGATAGGAGTTGATTTTGACTTAACTATAATCAGCAAAAAGCCCTCACCCTTTGCAACACAGTCCATGGCAGCTTGCCAGCCTAAGACCCAGTAGAAGACATGTTTGCTTTGTCTCCTGTGGTTACTGCTTTGTGTAGATCCTACATACTCTCCCAGTATCTCATGAAGGGCAGAAAAGTCCAGCATAAACCTTTCTTTGTCCACACAATATAAAAAAACTTTCTTGGTAGAGAAAACATTTCAGAGGTCTTCCACATTACTGGGAGCTCTCATGTGTACTAGGAGCAAGGATTCATGTGGAAGAAAAAGAACAGATGGAAAAGTTCAAAGCTCCCAACTCACAACATACGAGAAGCTTGTGTAGCAGTTGAACGATTGATTGAGATTCTTACATGCTCTTCTTTAAAGAATTTTCTATTCCTGCTTGCACTTGGAAAAATTATGTGTACTTTTTTAAAAAAGAAATCTTGTATTTTGCACAATTTTATAGACTGGGAAAACAGCTGATTTATGGAACTGTTTACTAATGCTGATGACATAGCCCTTATAGGCAAAAAGAATTAGCACATATTCCACATGAAGATTAGCTAGAAGTAAATATCCCAAGACTGTGTCACCTATTTCCCTTCCATGAACCTATGGCTAAGCCTCCACAGAGCTGCTGCTGCTTAGTAAGAAGCAATGAGATACTGGTGAGATGGGACACAACACTGCTGAAACAATTGAACCTGCTGTTTGCAACAAGGTTATAAATCCACTTTAAAGAATAAACCGTAGTATTTTGGGGTTTTGTGCTGAAACTTTAAGTCAAAATTTCCATTAGAAAAGTTTCTTTGGGTGTTTTGATGGAATAAGGAAATGTTAGGTACAACTTCCCCTCCCTGGCCCTGCCTCCAAAAAAGAAAAAAAAGAGAGTCAGTGGGGTGGGGGGAGAGAGAGCAAGAGAAAGAGATCATTTGACAATGATGAGATCAAATCTTGCATAGTGCCCTGTGATTTCCCTGCATCAGGACATCGCTAGACAGATGGACACAATCCATGCTTAGTACTAACGTTCAGCTGGGGAGACCAGTCTGCAGACAACAAGCACCCCAGACCTATAAAGACTCAACACTTCAAAAAACAAATCCTTCTGACTTCTATTGGTAATATTTTTTATTTTAGGGCTGTATTTTGATATAATTTCTCTTTCAACATGCTTGACTTAGAAATTTTTTTAGTCAGCAAATAGACAGCATTCGAAAGAAGTACGTTCAGCCAGTCTTTGCACTTTGCTTTAGGCTGGAGCATCACCAGGGGGCATTATTCTGCTCTTTTCAAATGGGAGATGACCATCCCATTTCATCCTGAGCTCTAGTACACGCATGAATGCACTACTTGTTGAACAAACTGTAATCAATAACTGAAATGTTTTGTCTGCTTGTTTAATAATTGAAGCTAACAGTAGACTTTAGTTAAAAAGCCTCTTCATTAAATGGAATGTAACTTACTCCCCTATCCCTCTCTCCCCTGCAGGCATTTGCAGGGCAGAGAAGAGTAGTCATCTGCATTCCCCTACCCCTCTGCAGGCATTTGCAATTAAAATGATGATTCTTTTTCTGTCATGTTTTTCTGTAGCACCATAAATGCAGAATGTCTCAGTTACAAAGCTGCTGCTTTAATGCTTGTCCAACAGAAACTACAATCTTACATCTCCTCAAGGACATGTTATCCCTCTGCTCTCCAGCTCTCTGCTGCTTGATTCCTGCCCTTCTTTTTCTGCCCAGTTTACAGTATGTTACAAGATCCTCATGGTATCTTACTACAGTCTTGTACAGCTCTCAGTAACACGGAGTTCCAGGCTTTTAGAGTGAGCTTTAGGCACAGCTGGAATACTAATAGCAGATAAGAATAAAAAGATCATTGCCCTAACAAACAGCAACGGATATGAGAATTACTACATACCTTGAAGCTGTACTGCCTGGAAATTGCTACAGTATTGTGGGCCAAGCTTATTGATCACCTCCATGGTTTCCACAGAGATAGCTTCTTCAAACAAGTACGTAGGGCCAAGGCGCCAGGTCAAGGAGGACTTCTGTTTCCAAATTTGAGGCGTAGCTATGTACCCATAGACATCAATAAAGGATGAGGGTTCCATGGAAATACAGCTACCTGGTAAGGGCTGGAGATACTGCATCTACAACAGAAAAAGAATTCACTGCGGGGACTCAATACACTCACGGTGCCTTAAGGTCTTGTCTCTGGAAGGTACTGCCTGTCCCCTCTTTCCTCAATGAAGGAAACACAATGGTCTGTTCAGACAGATACACTGCTTAGAAACTTGACTTCCAGAAGTATCACAAACATAAGCATTTTGGAAAGTTCAACCTGCTTTTTGTTCAAAAAACACAGTCAAAATCATTTCAAGTGTTGGCAAAGAAAAACTCTATCTTGACCCCAGCCTTATTTTTCCTGTTCTTAACTTCATAACTCAGATTGTGACTTTCAGAAGTCAGAAAGACACTACAGATTACACCTTGTACTAGGCACCTAGAGAATAAACAGTTTGAATAAAGGGTCCAAGTGCATCAGTTCGCTTCAGTGAAAGCGAAATAGATTAGGAAATTGGACCTTTTTTTGGCATCAAAATAAGGATTCAGAGTCCTAAATGGAGTGTGGACCACTCTAGCAGGAAGCAGTTGGAATTTTTTTGGTACAGAGAAACTGTATTGCATTTCAGGGCTTAGCCCTGTCTTTAACAATTTGCTGTTAGGGTCACAGACTCCTAGCATTTACTGATCTCTGACTACTGAGATGTAGAAGACAGGGCTGGTCAATTAATATTGAGGCAGGACTTGATACTTGAGTGAACGAATTATTAGGCTTGATACAACACAGTAACCCACCCTGAACACACCCCCCAGCTCAACCACCCAAAAAATAGCTTTTGGTATTGTTAACAACCTTTGTGCAATTCTAATTTCTTACACAATCTTTTCTTCATTGTACACATCAAGATGGAGGCTTACATCATGTCAGAGACCCCAGCACTGGGACCATCTTTTATTTACTAAAAGCTTGTTTTATTTATTATGAGCTGTTTCACTGTATGTTAAACACATTTGCTGTGAATTCTTTAATCAATTGCAATGCTTAGGCCTAGTTTTATTGATGACTTTCAGTCTCATTTGAAGGAAGGCAAGTTAAATTAAATTTTCATTCTTGAAATGGATATAGGTCCCAAAAGGCATTTAGGAGACAGATCATTTTTCTCAAGTATGGGAAAGAGAATATTTGGAATTAAACAGGTTGCTTTTACAAGGGAAGTATAAAACACACAAGTGAGCTTTGCATGTGTTGAGATTAATTTGAAATATGGGAACAACAAGGAAGAGACCAAGGTTACAAGTTTCATTTAATAAAAGGAGTCTATTCAAAAACAAAAACAAAAAACCCCCACACCAACCAGACCTGCAATAGAAATAGTCCGCATTTTCAACATTGTCAGCCTGGAGCATTCAAAATTCAAATCTCAGAAATAATTTGAGATTGACTTCAAAACCAGGAGCATGATAATAATGATAATATAAATCAGGGGCTCTTCTCATTTATCCTGTAGACTATGAACTCTTCAGGTACATTTGGATTGCTTTCTCATGATATCTCGTGCAACCTGAAACTTACTCCCATGCAACAAGATGATCACAGGAAATGGCACATTAGGGGAAATACTAGCTACACCAACATTTGCAATGAACTCACGGGTTGATATAATTGAAGTTTACAAATTCCTCCTAATTGAAACATTTCTTTCATTTCTATTAACTTCAAAAAGGAAGTATTATTTTAATTCAAGAACTATCTCACACACTGAACAACTAACCTGGAGGAACATCTATCTGTTCCTGAACATTTAGAGTGCCAGTAGGAAAAAGGCCACTGGTTCATCAACTGATTATTTTATGGGTGTAACAGGAAGAGGACAGCTTGAAACAAGCCCACGCAAGATGCTTGAGAAAATTCCATCCATCTTGGGATTCTTGCAAAGAGCTAGCCACAGAAGCTTATTTCTCTGTGAGCTTTCCCCTTTTCCAGGCCTTTCTCAAAAGTGGAGGCTCCCTACATAACTCATCACCTTTGTAGGTTTTAGCCTAAATCCAAAGCACCTTTGGTTTAGGGTTCTCTGGTCACACCTTAATGTTATGTACTTTTTGTAGATGACAACTTCTGAAAATCTTGGATGTAAACAGAGATCTTCAAAATCACTAGTCAATTCAGAAAACATTGGCCTGAGGGTACAACTGAATTTCATCAACATAACCCTGAGCTACCTGCAAACTAGGTAACCCCAACTCTCAGATGAGTGTAACCACTCAAAATTGCCCTGGTTATCTGCATGCTGAAGGGGGAAACTAGTTCAAAGCATCAGTATAAGCTGATAACATGCTTCTGAAAAGCAGCACAAATACACCCTAGTTTGTATGATTTCTGACTCCACTCACACACAGTGCAGAGTGGCACATGCTATGTATGCAGATCACCATGCTTTGAGTCTCTCAGGTTAATGCTGAGAAGTCATGGTATGTGCAGGAGGAGGTGAAAGTGAAAAGCAATGAAAGGCAAATGTCAGGCACAACACCTGTGCAGACAGCCTTTACCTTTGCAGAGCCAAGCATCTGACCATTTATATAAGCTGACACAATGCAGTTCTTCTTTGCTTCCTTAGCAACTGTCACTGTGAGATGATGCCACTCGCCGGTGATGAGCAGCTTGCCACAGCCAAATTGGATCTGCCCTGGAAATGGGGAGGGATTTAGGACCTCACCCTCAGGTTCCATGATATCTGTAACAGCAAAAACCGGGGGCAGTCAACAGAAAGTCTCTCTCACTTCCCTCCACCTCTGGAACAGAGCTATCAAATGTGACACAAAGAGCATGACTCTGTGGGCATAGAGTGATTTGGTGCTATTCTGTTCAATGTCTTTAAAACATTCCCTGATGGGTCCATTATCAGGACCTGAGACTTGCACAGCTTTCAAGATCCCTCCAGCATAGAATGTGCCATATTCCCAAATAACACCCGCTAGCTTCCTCAATACTGCAAAACTAGACTGAACTAGGGCAAAGTCAACATATTCTCTGAGAGAACCCCTCAGGATATTCACAGAGTTAGCTGACACAGAAAAAAATTCCTAGCAAATTCATGAGCTGATAAAACTCTGTACATCAATTTGTAGTTCTTATGAAAAGAGGCAAGCTGGGATTTTTAACATCATCTAAGGGAATCCTAGCACTCACACAGCATCAGTTGTGCATGAAAAAAATCCCAGCTGCTATTCCCACCCTCCTCTGCAATGTTCAATCACATTCACATTTGAAGTACCTACTGTACTCAAGGAGAAAGGGAAAAATGTAAAGAAAAAAGATTAATTTGCTGACATGATAGAAAACATTCTACAAGTGAGGAGAGGAATCAGCTATTTGATTAGGAAGCTAGATCACCCCCAAACTCCTTAGTCCTTCTCTCCACACCTGCCTACTGCTACACAGAATAGGCAGGGACCAACTGGTTCGAGTCCAGTCCCCACAAGGGCACACAACCATATACCTGACATTCAGAAGTTTTCCTTAGAATATTTATAAGTTTTATCATATATCACAGGCCACAAAATAATTCTCAATGCCTAAAGCAAAGTTAAAGCTGAAATATGACCAAGAATTACAATTACAACAGGCAGCCAGAAGAAAACCAAAGACATAAAAAGTCTCATTAATGTCCCGGGTACTTATAAGAAGCGTTTTGTTAATGAAAAAACTGTTAATGAAAAATTCCAGATAATCAGAGGACACAGCACTGCAGCTTGACTGGTAAGAGCCTTACCTAGTGGCTGGAATTCCACTTCTTCTGTGGAAATGACCAAAGAACGGTCCTGCGGGAAGAAGCTTACTGAAAAGCAAACAAATTCTTGCTCTGTTCTTGACATATGTCTCACAACTGTGAGAAAACGGAGTGGGTGACTGTTGTGCACCAAGCCAAACTTGCTAACCAGAAACCAGCAGGAGAGAGTCAGGCCGCTTGAGGGAGGGAACATTCTGGTGCCTGTAGACAGGAAACAAAAAAGCAGTAAGGGAAGTTAGTTCCCCTGTGTAGACATTAGGAAACTGCTTCCTGTTTCATTTATAGCCCAAACCATATAAGAAACAATATTAGAATATGAGGTTTAATTTCTGTTCTATTCTATTAGATTTCATTGCTTATCTTCAATATCATAGAGACTGCACATGTGAGTGTGTGCATGTGTATAAATGACCTAAAATTGACTGATGAGAAATAACTACTAGATCTCCATGCCACGGAGTTCATCAGTTGGGAAGCACTGAGCCAGAAACAAGTTTTCTCAAAGTTCCCAAAATTCAGGAAGCAAGAGGTACAGCCATTTCCCAGTCCACCCAATAGAGGATTTTTCTCTATAGGAGAATCCCATCTTATGTTAAGTGACAGTTTCTATTCCTTCCATGGGAGATTACCCTAAAATCTGGTGGCTCTTACTCGTTTCAGCCTGCTTTAAGTTTGTATTGCTAATGTTAATGATAATGCATCACACTATTAAGCTGCATCTGATACTGCATTTTGGTGAGCAGTCTGAGTTACACACCTCAGAGCTGCACTGGGACACAAAGATTGAAGTGTATTGAAACAACAGCTTATTTGCTACCATTTCTTACAAATGTTAAATGATTTCAATGGGGCTGAAAAGACAGTGCTTTCAGGAAGCTGTAGATTAGTCAGAGTGCTTACCCACGCCAATTCCTCCTGAGACAGATTGCTCTGCACTGGGTCCCATGACAGTGGCCAAGGTAGGGAGGTATAAACACCTACAAAAGCAAGCAAGCACTCATTCATCAGAAACTTAAAGTCATCCCTGAAGGTCACCAGTGACTTAATACTGCAGAATCATGGTAGCAAGGCAGAGTCTAGGCTATCAGCAATAAGACAATAACAAAATATTTTGGCAACATTGCTGCAAGGCAGGCAACGATAGGGCACAAGGATTGACTAGGATGGAGAGAGAAGTAATTAGTTGCTGTGTCCAGAATAAGGGCTTGGAGACTGCAGAGCAGCTAAAGAGAAAAGCAACAGCAGCAATACCCGTATCCTTCCATGGACATGTCAAACTCCACAAATGATGGAGCCAAAGCAGTGCTGCGGAGCTGGAAGTTTCGAGGTGACGTCATGGAGATGAGACTCATTGCAGTCTGGAGTGCCAACGCAGATCCCTTAGACACCCAAGAAGAGCTGCTGACAGGTACAACTGCCTGAGGATCGGTTTTATTGTCCACCATGTCTTCTTCTGAACCTACGAGATCAACATTGTGCCTAAACAGATCCATGTCTGCAATACTTTTTTCAATCACAGGCTTTGCCCGTATTCAATTCATCCAGCAGCCTGGAGGAACCCTCAGCAATACACAAAAATATTACATTGAAGCAATTCAAAACAGAAGGCTGGCAGGAAAGATGAGCTTACAGAAGTGATAGCCATATTTTCTGCCCACACATCTTCAGGCAACTCTGAAGTTCACCTCTAGTAAAAAAGATTCCTGACCCATTGGTTCCATTTTTCTTATACACAGACCATTCAATTCTGCCATAACAGAATAATTACATAATTACAACCAACACGTGGTAGAGGATCTGAAGAATGACTGCAAAGAACATAAATCCAAATTTGCACCATGCCGTGTCAGGTGTTGCATAGGCATGAGAACAGTTTAAACAGCAAATACTACTACTGTAGCTTTTCACCTGCAAAGTATGTTACAACAAAGACAGGATTTGGATGCCAAATGGCCTGTATAAGCAAGGAAGAATACCAGGATATCCTAGAGATTACAAAAACAGTGCTCTTTAATTAAATCTTTATTCTATATCTAGCTATAAGCCACAGGGAAAATATGCTGCAAACACAGGAGACACTCCACTTGGTTTGGGGAATATGATTAGTATTTTCATAGATCACTTCCGTGTCTGAGTCTGTATCAGCATCTGGCTTCAGCACACATATTATAATTTGATCTCTGCTGGTGATTACATGAGCTCCCAGTGTTGGTCAAGTACCACCCAACCTGGGTAATACCCAGTCTAAAACATCCAGGCATACTCCACCTTTACTGTGACTGTCTTGGAGCAATCTACTCCAACAGCAGTTTCCTGTCATAACAGAGACATCTATAACCCAGCGACTGTATGAGCAACAGGCTCTTCATTGTGTGCTTACCTCCATTAGCTGAATCATTCCCCCGACATGAAAGGGCCTCAGTCTTCTTTGTGCAAGGTCTGAAACATAGTGGTGGTGAACCTCCCAACCAAAGAAATTGCCTAACATGAAAAAAAAGAAAGCAACCACAAAAAATTAAAACAATCAAGCCAGACACTTTGGAGTCATAGCAACCATGCAAATACAGCTCAGTCCTCTGGAGACCAGCTTTCTTATTGGATACCAGATTTTAAAGACAACCCAATAAAACAGAAGGAATGTTTTCCATTGTATCATCACAAATATTTGTTTTGCTTTACACTTCCCCTTTCAAGATTTTCCTATTGAAAAAAATCAAAGGTTTCTTATCTTCAGCAATACTTTTGGATACTACTAATTTTTCAGAAAAAATCTGGGGTTTTTTTGGCAGGGTGGGGTGGGGCTTTTCGGGGGGCGTGTGTTTTTTTAAAAAAAGAAATTCTGTCCCATTTTTTAGTAAAATAAATTCAATCTTCCACTTCATATCCAACTTCATCTGCACTTTGATCTCAATTAGGTACCCTCACGCCTAGCACTTGTTAGCATTAGAGAAGAAAGTGCATCCTCAAAGTAGAAACAACAGAGACTGAGAAAAGAGCATGCTTTTTATTTCTGCGTCTGTCATTGACGTGGATCCAAGCTAAAAGAAAGTTACTTTTACTCTTTGGGAAACAGCTTCTCCATATGAATTTCAAGAGAGAATAACCCCAACTGTTTTGCAATTACTTCATTTGTTACCTTTCCTAAATGGCTTTACAAGCCCTGCAGAGATGATGCAGCAGAACAGTCATACCATCTTCAGTATGTCATTATAGCATTATACCCTGTGATCAATATGTAAGTAGTATTAACTGACACTTGAAACAAAAGGCAAAGACTCTTACTGAATTAGAGCACTATATGTAGTACCCAATTATTGCACAAAATTTGCAAAAAATTTGCACCACTAAATCAAATCAGTTCCATTAGATATAATCTGATACCTTAACACATCTGGCTCAATAGCCTGTGACGCAAGCTTCTCAAACACTCTAGTGAGGGGTAGATGCAGTGGATGGCTCTCATTGCGGAAGGCATCCTGACAGGAAGTTATGATGGTACTCAGCAAACCAGATCCACACATCACCTGGCGACTCTTCTCTGACTTCACCAGGGACAGGATATGATCAACCACAGCACATTGTATTTCCTGTGAAAGCTGAAATGGACACAGAACTGAAGTCAGTGAGCTGGAACTAAGTGATTTCCTCCTGCCCCCCCCAATTATCAAATCTCTGGGTATAAAATTCTAGCCCAGAAAAGAAGCCTCTAAGGCCAGAGGCTCAAGTGCAACTGCATGGCTGTTCTATAAAGCTCTGCACTTGAACAGTGTGCATATATCCAAGTAGATGCTCAGCCATTCACAGTTGTGCTTTCCTGCCACAACACTACGGTAGTGAAGGATGAGAACAATCATCTCATTCAGAAGAAGGGACCACCACCAAGGCCAGGTTATTAGGCATAAGCTCCAAGGCCAACACAGTAACTCAGAATATATTTAACATTAAGCACTTGGAGAGTCATATTGACATGATCTAGTCTTCATTCTAAAAGCACTGTTCTTAAATAAAAACCATATCTAGCAATATAATGAAACAATTTTAAACACTTCTCTACATGTTTTGCTGACTTGACGCTTTACTTTGTTATTGCTTCTTAATGGTCTCGAAATAACTCAATTCTCATAAATTAGCTTTAGAGTAATTTGTTCCCAATTAGGAATGGAGCCTACCCTATTGACCTACCTAGATTTCACACAAAACTAACTGTGCATCACATATTTAAATGCAACTCTTAAAGATGAAACATTCCCCACCCCCAAGAGCTCTTTGCCTTTCTCATATGCTCTTCTAGGAAATAACCTATGCAAACTCTTAAAGAAAAGGACAACAATGGTGAAAGACATGCAGATTAGGACATTGGGATTTGATTTTATAACATGAATGAGAAGCAACCTAACTGGATTCAGAATTAGCTAGCTTATTAAGAGTAAGGAGGAACTCAGCATCCAGACCAAACTCAAACCTGTACGGGACAAATTCAAAGCCAAGAAGCAATTTGTTTTCAAAGTGCTCAACAACCAAAAGCCCCAACTGCAACACTTAGACAATAATACTAGCACATCCAATGCATATTGTTTTTGTAAACTCAACTACTATTTTTGATATCTGAAGGGCGAGTTTGGATAACACTTTCTTCTCTTTGAATTACTTCATTCTAGTGACACAAGTTTCACTGTGCATCTCATTATAGACAGGAATCATCCACCAGACTAAACTACGCTATTCTTCACAGAAAGGCACTTATTGCAACAGTGTATCAAAGATTGACTTAAAACTTTTTGTATCTTTTAATTATTATTTTAATTCATTTTTGACTGGATGCAGGAAAGTATCTGGATGTATAAAACCACATGAAAACAGAGAAGGACAGAGGTCTTGGTTAAGTGAAACTACTGGTTTACTGTGAAATAAATTCAATAAAAGCATAATAGCATACAAAAAAATTGACTGTTTTCATTAGCTTAGCAGCTTTGTCAATAACCAGTATAGCCTTGTTTTGAATAAAATGTGCTTTCTTCATGGGTCTTAGTTCCAGTAAAATGAGATTTTAGTGGAAATATTAATGGTGGCCAGGAAACCAGGCTGTGTGTTTCTACATGCATGCATTGATTTTCTTAACACATATTACTTGCATCATGAATCAGGATATTGAAGGTGCAGTTAGAATGTAGTTGGAATCACAGCTCTGCCTCAGATTAGAGTCTTAAGAGCAAAACGTCACCTACAATTTGCTGAATCTGTTTCATTTGTTCCCAGATTCTTGTGCCTAACAGCACATAGTTTCAAAAGTTGGTAGCTGCATTTAATTCACTTATTCATCTTCAAAATTATGCTATGTTTAAGATGAGCAAGAAATTTGAACCTTTTGCAGTGGGGAATCATTTCAAAACGATGTAAGTTTCTTAGGTTTAAGAAAGATACAGCAATAATTCTGTGTGCAATTGCAAAAAACAAACTTATTTTTCAATCTCAGGAGCACCTTTCTTGAAAAGCTAGCAGCCCTTCATAGAAAATTAGAATTAACTTCCTAACACACCACAGAGATTTAGTTTTACTAATGAAGAACTCAAGGCATCGAACCTTCAAAAAGTTTTAAGTCACCCAGGATTTTAAATCATGCTTTCAAGGGAAAAGGTAGACATCCATCAGCTTAAAACCCATTGTCTGTAAATTCACTTCTGAAAATCATCTGTGCAATCTTTTTTTCCTTAGAATGTTATAAAAAATTATTCATAATTTTATCACAGCTCAAATTCCTGATGCATAGTTCCCAGCTGCAAGAACATTCCCTTTCTATCACAGTATTTTGCTGATTAACTCTCACCCACTGACCTTAACAAGCAAAACTTAGCCGACAGTAGGTATAACCGCTTTTGCAAAGTTACAAAATAACTTGTGTTGATGCACTCCTTGCAAGTAGACAGGGAAAAAAGCACTATGAATGGCGTGAACTGTTTCTACTTTTCCAAAAACATGACCTAGACAGGGTCTAGCTAAATGCTTCATATAAATTATACCATCTCCATCGGGCTTTTCACACTTCCCCTTGGTACAGCTTGTGTGTAAGAGAAGCTACAGAGCTTTCCTCATATGAATACCAGGGCTACTATTACGTTCTAGAGAAAATATACTAGGAAGTCCTGACCGTTTTAAGACAGGCAACAAGATCTCTTCATAATGCTAAGAATCATTTTGTTAATTCTGGTGGTCTGACAGACCTCTTTCTCACCAAATTACATTTAGTTGCAGTATTTTTTGTTTCCTCCCAATATTAGCTGAATGCAGTGTCTCCTTTCTATTCTCTAAGCTAGTGTGCAGTGCTAGAATGTCTCATGTTCATCAGACACCTGAGAGGAAGGCAAAGGTGTCTCTCTGTGCCACCTTATAAATGATATGATTACATGAAAAAAAATACAAAGTAGAAAATTATCGTCAGTATAGTTAGCCAGAATTTTTGGCAGAGTTCCTGTCTCTCCAATCCAGGGTACATTACCAAGACTTTAGTGCAACTTCAGAGACACTGGCTCCTTTTTAAGGAGAAAGTGAATAGCAAGAGAAACAGGACAAATAAAAGGGCAGGCTGTGGGTTTGGAAGCACAGGAGGAAAATTGCTTGGTCTGTATAAACAGTGAAAGCTTCAGAAGCTGGTTGATCAATTACAAGCAAACTTCTTACTAAAAGCCCAAAAATAACCTTGGAAAAGAACATGCAGACGGGCTGTGCATTTTCTTTAAAAAAAAAGTAAAAAAAAAAAAGGTTGTGCTGTAATCAGAACAGGCTCAGCAAAGAAAAATCCCCCAGGAGACAAGACTGGAGAAAAGCCTGTAGGAAAGTGCTCAGGGGAAAGAGCTGACCTTCAGCTACCAGCCCAGGCTGGAGGACCCACTTGCCAGGGTGTTTCTAGTCTCCTCCCTCTTACCAGAGTTCTGGTCCATTCTCCTTTCCCTTCTCCCAAAGCCTTGGCTGCACAACCCAAAGGAGATTGAAGCTCTGGCCAAATACCTGAAGAATTTCCTTGTGCAGATAATGCAGTGTGGTAATTTAGGAATTCATTGTGACATGAACAGTTACATTAGCAGTGATACTAGTAATATATATCTGAAGGCAGACAAATCTCAAATGTCACACAATCTTCTGTGGACCATTTCTAACTATGTCAGAGACCTTTTCAGTTTAAAAAGAATTTACATTTTTAAGAAGTACAAGTACTTGGCAAATGTTATGCTGTTAACATCTGCAGTCAGAACAACTAGTTTAGGCTAAATTTAAAACAGGGATAAAGGTCTTTTAAAAAGGTGCAAAGTCCTTATTGATGCACAATGTTTTAATTTTACAACAGTGAATATGACAGCAGTTCATCACAGGAGTGACATGAATAAAAATAGAGAGGACAAATCCAGCTGTGGAAGCAATGATATTATGTAAACAAAAGTATAGATAATGTACATAATGAAACATGTGAGGATTTTTTTGTCTGTATTCACAGGAAACCTGGCAGGATGATGACACAGAACTGAACCATGCTTTGATTCTCTTCTCAAAAGTTCTTTTCCTTCCATTACCCAGCCTGGTCAGATCTAGGAGATCTCCTTATCTGACATCTCAAATGGAAAAGATCTGGCGTGGCACTCTGGAATCTTAAAAGCCACAGTTCCAAAATACCAGACAAGGATGAGATATGCCTGAGGGGAGACTGAATATCCTCAGCCACATAACTAAAGTGGATGGTAACCCGTCTCACTTGTACTTAGTTTTTGAAACATGTGACAATGTTATCTTTCATCACTGAACAGGCAGCATGTTAATAAAAGGAAAATACACCTTGTATTTAGTCAAACTGTAAGCAGTTTGATGGGAACTGGCTTAGTACCTGGGCTGGCTTAGTCCTAGGCATGAGCAATATCCTCTACATACAGTTTACTGACTCAAAGACTGTCTCTTGGCGGGCGGGGGGGGGTGTTTTTTGGGTGTGTAAGTTAAGGCTTTTAAGCAAATTTTTATGCCCGTGTGACCTTTAAATGATTTTTGATCATACCTCGGAATGGCAGTAATATACATCTACAAATCTATTCTCCTTGGCTTTTAATTGTCATTCTAGACAGTCAGAAGAAATGGCTGAAGTGCAAGACCACCTATTTTACTGTCTACTACTGTTTTTTCTATGCTGACGGGCTCAACACTGCTTCAGCCCATCACTGCTCGAGTCTGACAACGGTCACTGGCAAGCAGCAAATTTGGCAGGAAATGGACATTATCTCTGAGAGTCAGAATCAAAGTACATTAATTTTATCGGGTTCCATTAATGTTTCTGTAAAAGCAGTGCTTCCTCGTTGCCATTTCTGTGAAAGCAAAGGATTGGCACATGACCTGACTGATTCTGAAGTTTTTTCCAGATCACTCCTGAATACTTGGGCCTAAAAGATCTATCACATCACTAAAACAAGCAGAAAGAGATAAGTTACTGTCTGTTCTTCACCATTGCTCCTAAAAAATGTACTATTTGATTCAGTCTTAAACTCAGAGCAAGAAGCCCCTTCAGATTTTTTGAATGAAAGTCTGCAATTAAAAAGCTCCATCCACAAAAAGGTTATTCTGTCTCTCATATAGCTGTCAAACACTGTTGCACTAAAAGAAAGAATAGTAGCCTATTCTGTTTGGGACGGAATGTATCTATTGAAAGGGGAATTTCTTTCAGTTGTTACCCTTCTACCAAGTAGCTCCTCTTCACTAGCCATTGAGGTCCACCCTTTGCATCAGATCTTGCCTGACTCCTGTGTTCCAAGCAGCATCTTATTCCACAAGGGTTCATGTGGTATGTGTTATAACTAAAGATACTAAAGTCCAGCCTTTTGTGTTACTACATGGCAGCATCAGGGAGCTGCCCAAGCTATAGGACATGAGGTTCCACTCATTCTCTCACCTACTTTTAAATAGAATTAGCCAGAAAAAGTCTATTTTTCCTCTAACACTTTTGTGGGTCATTTGATGAAAACTCTTCAGGACTTGTGTTAACTCCTAGCTGGAATCTGACTCGGGACCCTGCATAACAGTGGTCCCTTTTTACCTGAAGCAATCCTGTTGACAACAGCAATACTAAACAAACACTATCAGTAATAATTTCTTGTTGATTAAGAAAAAAAGGAGTGAGAAAGGAAGAAAATATGAACGCACTTAAATACATAACTGAAATTGCTGGAATTTGTGCTCTAGGCCTTCATATTTTTAAGAACACTGCCATCTACTGAGGCTCTGAGGAGCTTTCTCTCTCATACAGCTCAGCCCTAGCGCCAACGCCAATAGTTTGTTGATGACAGTCTCTTTCATCCAATTAACATATCTACTTGTTTTTCAGAAATTAATTACTGCAATTAACAAAATTTCACTAGCTGCTGGTTTGGCTCTGCTACACAGAGTTGGGATATGCCAGCAGTTAGTTGCACTCCCACCTTCCATAGCTTTGGATGAACAATCTGGTTTTATTTCAATCTGTCCATACTTTAACTGTGTTCAAGTATTTTAGATCAGTCAGCAGATACAATATAGGCAATACACTTGTTCAGAATGGGAGTGAGTATGAAACATTTGACAAAGCAAAGCAGATGTTAAGCTTGGAAGCTGCATTGGAAGTTTATGGACCGTTAGGCCTAAAGAGCCAGACTGTTCTGGTTGCTAGGTCCATTCGCAATATTTTAAACAATTTTCAAGTGACTTCTACACATGTGCCTTTGCAATAAGTATTCTGGGACAAGACCCATGCACTGTATCAGACAGGTATAGAAATACTTAGTCAAACTGATAGCCAGGAGCCTTTGTTCTTGTTATATTTGTTGACTTGTGAAATTTGTGCTGTTCCTCCTGCCAGTGTTATAGGTAAATTTTAGTATTTCCACACCTGCAAAGAGTAAGCAATTCTTGCAAATGAAGCTACAGAAAAGTAGCAGACCCTATTCAGATGGCACTTTGCTATGTTCAGACTCACCTGAGAGTGTCCCTCTTTGTACAGCTTTGGCAGCAACCTCACCATAACACAGACAGCACCTGGATGTACAATGGCGCAGTCTCCCATTTCCCACCTGCAGGAAAAAGATGCATAAAAACTTATGATTATTATTATTAACAGCAGCAAAGAGGACCCAACAATGTTCCAGCAGAGTCCAGCATTAAATACGCCTAATAGCAACCAGGCTTAGCATTTGAAACTAAGCAAACAATACAGATGACCTGGAACAGCTGGAAGCCTCCTTAGAGTAATAAAGGCAGGACAGGCTATCTGCTCACGGGCTCACATCTCAGGCACCTGCATATTAAAAAGGCTGCTGCACATCTTTGAAACAAACTTTGCCTTTGAAGGTACTTGCAGTACAGAGAACAGACAATCAGAGGGAACTTTCTATTGCATCATCCTAGAACTCGCGTTATATTATCATATTATAGGATGATATATAATATTATATTATATATCATCCTATACTCTCTATTTTCAAGCTGTTTGTAACTTTAGTCAGACAATAACTTCAGTACTTTCAAACTGTAATAGCAACAAGCAAAGAGGAGACAGTCTTGATGAAATCAGTATGCCACTCTTCCCTTCCAATACCAGAATCCACCTAAACTAGTAAAAGAAAGTTAAACACCTATGCTTCCCCACCAGTTTTCATTTTTGCCATGTATCACCTTTGTACATTCTGGCATAGGAAGGAATTGAGGCATCAGAGTTACCACACGGCTTATGCCATGATGCAGGCTAGAGATCAGATATATCTTAAAGATGAAGACACAGCATAGCAGTAACTCTAGTTTAGGCACTGTAGACTCGTCATGTTCAAAGTATAATCATAATTTCTGTGTGCACCTCTGAACCGGAGTTGTGATATGCACTGTCAGAAACATTTGTCCTAAACAGATCTCATGAGAAAAGCAAAGACAACATCTAACAGCCATAACTAGACTGAAAAATTAAAGCACAATATGCTTTATGGACTGTATAAAACAAAGAGTGCAAATAAAAGAGTAAGAATAAAAAAAAGCTTTTACAAGGGACCTAAAGGAGGGCAAAAAGGCTAAAATTAACATGAGCCTTTTTGGAAGTGGCTAACATCCGATACAGCCGAGTAGCGAGTAATGTGTAGCACACTGCCACACAGTGACAAATAATTCCTACTGCACCCTCAAGAAAGATATTTTCACAGAAATCACTCATTTGCAATATTTTCTGTGTAATGAATCAAAATCAGATCTGATATAAATACTTACTGCAGCAGTGACTCCAGTGTGGACACATACACATATATTTGACATGAATGTGGATGACTTTTTAAATACCAAACGAGGAAAAAGTACACACTGCAAATACACTCTCCTTATCTCCCCCAAAAAATCCTAAAGACCTTTAAAGAGAAAAATCCAGGCTCACTAGAATCAATAGGATCGAAATTCCAGTCTGTTTTCCTGCTGCAGCTCTGCTCCCCAGAACAAGTTCATTTTTAGCTTAAGCCACTGTATTCAAGGATTAACTTCCCAAACTTTCAATTCAATTCAAACTTCCATCCCTACCACTGTAAAAATGCAATCACAGGCAGTGTGCTAGTTCTCCTAAGACAGTCTTCCTAAAGACTTAGGCACTGAAGAAATATGGTTACCTCTGAACATCAAAATTTTTTTTTCACATGCAGAACTTTTTTTATAACCCTTATGATGTGTAGTAAAGGTAAAATGTGAGCTAACAAGATGTGTTTATCAGAAGACTCTTGTCTTCTGATCTTTTAAAAGAAAGTGATCTTTTTAAAAAAAAAAATCATTAAATGATTATGACATTCTTCTCCCAAGTAACTAGCAATAGGACAAGAGGAAATGGCCTCAAGTTGCGCCAGGGGAGGTTTAGATTGGATATTAGGAAAAATTTCTTCACTGAGAGGGTGGTCAGGCATTGGAACAGGCTGCCCAGGGAGGTGGTGGAGTCGCCATCTCTGGAAGTGTTCAAAAAACGTGTGGATGTGGCACTTCAGGACATGGTTTAGGGGACATGGTGGCACTGGATTAATGGTTGGACTTGATGATCTTGAAGGTCCTTTCCAACCTAGTGATTCCGTGATTGCCATAACTATCAGGATATGTTTTCTTATTTTTTGAGCACTGCCTGGCAGGTTTAGCATTCTCCAAGGCAGATGTTAAGAAGGAAGAACAAAGAAGGAAAATCCAGAATCCCTGACCAGCATCTAACTACACCTCAACTGCCCCACCAGCACTGCATACTCACTCCCCTATAAGAATATTACATAAACCTTATCTCCAGCTTTCTCTGTGATTTCCCAAGAGGCCCTCATTTTCTGCCTTGTCTTAGTACAAAAGCTACCTCCATGTACCAACTCCTCACTCCTGCAAATATCCCATCTCTCACACTCCCTGCCTCAGCGCTATCTAGTCAGCCCCGTGATTACACTCCATCTACCCCACCAGTATCATGGTGTGAATCCCAAATCTGCTCTGCACTGGCTGCTACTTAAAAATAAGACAAATAAGAGGGTTTGGGGACAAAATAAGGTGCCGCAAAAAACCCGAAGACCCATTAGCACAGTGAGTCTGTGGTAACAGCAGCTGCAGCAGCCATTCTGCTAGGGTGGGCATGAAGAGGGGCTTCACTCCCAAAGAGAGATCAGCCTCAGCTAACACAGCTTGCAGCAAGTTATCCCTAATCACCAGGAGTTAAAGGATAAACAGAGACCCCATCTGTCACAGAAGGGGTGTCAAACGTTAATGCAGAAGCAGGAACACAGAGGGATGTTTTTCAGATGGGAATGAAAGGGTTGATTCCCCTGTGGCCCAGTGGCTTGCAGCATCATTGACCACAGGACAGTGTAAGGGGCTAGAATATGATCCAGTTAAAATGCTGATTTTCCTGAGCCTCAGTCACAGGCTCCCATAGGATCACCTCCTTTCCCCCTCTTCAGGGATGTTAAATACACGTTGCAGGATGGGGCATCACAGGCCACCTACACGGCCTGCACTAAAGTTCCTCCCTTCAAGCTGCATAGCCCCAGGCTGAAGCCTTTTTCAAGGAGAAGTGTGAGCGTGGAGTACAGCTAAGAGGAAGCTGCATCAGGGGAACCACAGGCTTGGAGGAACTCTGGAAACTTCGTTTCTTATTTTTATTTTCAGAAAATTTACTGCTGGAAAAGGACACAGGCTGTGTGGCCTGAAGACTGGCAGCTTGCCAGTACATGTTCCTCTGCTGTGTTTGCATACACTTGTCCTGGACACTCTCCAGCCACCTCTAGCTAATCTGGCTTCCTTTCGTGCCTTCCCATCCCAGAACCAAAGCCAAGCTGTCCCACACCAGACACTGTGAACTGAATGGATCCCAATTTACATGATAAATTTCTCCATAAGCAGTATTCATTCAGTCACTGCACAGCCTCACAGCTCATCAGGCAAAACAACACAAGGACCTAAGGAAGCCTTGCTTTATGTTTTAGATCTAGTAACTGGAGAAAGACAAGCAGAAGACAGAGCCATACCCTTCCCAGCATTGCCACTGACCTACTCTTTCTCCCCTATCTTCCCTGAGCCCCCCTTTTACACACACTTAAGCTACAGGCTATGGACTTCTCACAACCACCACAAGGGATGCAAAGAATAAGGGCTTCTACAAGTATGTCAGACAGAAAAGGAAGGTCAAAGAAAGCATACACACACTACCATCACCCCCCCCACCGATGAGCAAGACTGGCAAACTGGTAACAACAGACAAGAAGGCTGAGGTACTCAATGACGACTTTGCCTCAGTCTTCACTGGCAATCTCTCTTCCCACACCTCTCGAGTGAATGGACTGCAAGACAAGGACTGGAGGAGCAAAGTCCCTCCCACTGTAAGAGAAGGTCAGGTTCAAGGCCATCTGAGGAACATGAACATGACAAGTCTATGAGACCTGATGAGATGCACCCTAGAGTCCTAAGGGAATTGGCTGATATAGTTGCCAAGCCACTCTCCATGACATTTGAAAAGTCATGACAATCAGGTGAAGTCCCTGATGACTGTAAAAAGGGAAACATTGCACCCATTTTTAAAAAGGGTAGCAAGGAGAACCCTGGGAATGCCCAATCTGTCAGCCTCACCTCTGTGCCTGGCAAGATTGTGGAACAGATCCTCCTAGAAACTGCTAAGGCATATGGAGGACAGGGAGGTGATTTGAGACAGCCAGCATGGCTTCACCAAGGGCAAGTCCTGCCTGACCAACCTAGTGGCCCCCTATGATGGCATGACTACATCAGTGGACAAGAGAAGAGCTACCAATGTTGTCTATCTGGACTTCTGCAAGGCCTTTGACATGGTCCTCCACAACATACTTTTCTCTAAATTGGAGAGGTATGAATTTGATGGGTGGACTGTTGGGTGAATGAGCAATTGGTTGGATGGTCACATCCAGAGGGTAGTGGTCAATGGCTCAATTTCCAGATAGAGATAGGTGACAAATGGTGTCCCCCAGGGGTCCATATTGGGATCAGTACTGTTTAATATCTTCATCAATGACAGACAGTGGCATCGAGTGCACCCTCAGCAAGTTTGCAGATGACATCAAGCTGAGTGATGTAGTCAGCACACCTGAGAGATAGGATACCATCCAGAAGGACCTGGGCAAGCTCAAGAAGTGGACCTGTGTGAACCTCATGAGGTTCAACAAGGCCAGGTGCAGGGTCCTGCACCTGGGTCAGGGCAACCCCCAGTATCAATACAGGCTGAATGATGAAGGGATTGAGACCAGCCCTGCTGAGAAGGACTTGAGGGTACTGGTGGATAAAAAGTTGGTCACAGAACAGCAATGTGCGCTCGCAGTCCAGAAGGCCAGTTATAACCCGGGTTGCATCAAAAGAAGCACGGCCAGCAGGCTGAGAGAGTGATTCTACCCCTCTGCTCCACTCTCGTGAGACCTCACCTGGAGTACTGCATCCAGCTCTGGAGCCCTCAGCACAGGAAAGACATGGACCTGTTGGAGCGGGTCCACAGGAGGGCCACAAAAATGATCAGAGGGATAGAACACCTCTCCTACAGGGACAGGCTAAGAGAGTTGAGGTTGTACAGCCTGGAGAAGAGATGGCTCTGGGAAGACCTTATTGCAGCCTGCCAGTACTTAAAGGGGGCTTGTAAGAAAGATGGGGACAAACTTTTTAGAAGGATCTGTTGCGACAGGACAAGGGGTAATGGTTTTGAACTACAAGAGGGTACATTTGGGGCACTGGTTTTAAACTAAAAGAGGGTAGATTTAGACTAGATATAAGGAAGAAATTTTTCACAATGAGGGTGGTGAAACACTGGTACAGGTTGCCCAGAGAGGTAGTAGATGCCCCACCCCTGGAAACATTCCAGGTCAGGCTGGACAGGGCTCTGAGCAACCCGATCTAGCTGAAGGTGTCCCGGCTCATTGCAGGGGGTTGCACTATATGACCTTTAAAGGTCCCTTCCAACCAACACTATTCTATGATTCTATAAATGCAAGCTTAAAGTCCCAGCAATCCTTTGCTTACAACCCAGTCCTGTTCCCACATTGCACGTGTCAGAACCTTCAGCACAAATTCTACATGAGTTGTGTGTTCCACTGCTCCAGTGAACACTTATGCTCCAATGCTGACCACCATTTACCTTTCAAAAAGAGTTGATTTCTGCTGTCTTGAGCCCTGGGAGTTGGGACTGTGGCATTGATTTTTTTGTTCTAAAAACGTTATGTCACACCTTATGCAGTTTACTACCATCTAAAATGCAGATACCAGTCTTACTATTATATTCCCTGTAGTAAAAAAAGACTTACTTCTCTTCAGGGTTTCCCCATAGTCTATAGGCAGAGGCAGGTAATTTGGTGCCTGGTCTTTTGAAAGCAACAGCATGCTGCTCTTGAGATTGGGGTCCCTCCTTATCATTCCTTGATGTCTCTCCCATCTCTGGCTTTCTCTCCTTGAAGTAGCTCTCCAAATGGAGGGTTCCTTTGACCATGTGATCAAGAAAATTCAGAATCCATATGCAGTTCTTTAGCCACGTTGGGAAAGGTTCTGAAGCGCAGAAAGCTGCATCCAAGAATTCTGCAAAGGTCCTTGTCTTCTCAAGGCTCAGAGGGATTTGCCATTCTTCTTGCGTGCAGAAGCATCCAAGTGATCCAAGGTCCTCTGCCATCTTTTCAAACAGACCATTCTTCTGAAAGAAGTTGCTGTTGACAGGGTCCAGGTGCAAGGCTGAGGTTATTCCCTGAAGCGTGTAGAAGACAAGCTCCAATATGCAATTCTGTCCAACTGCTGCCCACAGCCCAGATGGAGGGTCCTGCAATGCACCTTCCATGTCTGAGAGAAGGGACAGGAGTCCATTGAATCCACTGCAGGTTCTGAACGCTGAATGGCTCTTGGGACTCTCCAGTATCCTCAGGAGTGACTACAAATATTGGTAAGGAAGGAGACAAAAGCAGCACTTGAACCAAGACACAAAGAAGCTTTAGAATATTTTAAAATTCCAAGTTTGTACCAAAACTCTTTCAGTGAAATTACACTCTGAAGAAAAAAGAAAGTTGGTTAAAATAAAGGTCACCACTACACAACCTTTCTCCTCCTCCCTTCTCCAATATACCAAATGAGTCAAACAAGATTTAAATACATCCTCAGCAGCAACCCATGGAGTCAGCCTGACAGGTAGGGAATATTGCTCACAGGAATAAGCAAAGAAATCAAGTTTCCTGCATTACATATCCTAGTCAGTTTGGACAGAGGTAATTTCAGACCTTTGGTTATTCTTTCATCAGTCTTCTCAGACTCTCTCAAGAAATCTGCCTTTGCCTTGAATACATGAAAGAAGAGATTCAATTTTAAATAACCTCAAATAGAAACTGAGAAGGCAGCACAGTTCTCTATAGGTAAGTCTTCCTACACCCCTGAATACACATGAGGAGCCACACTAGACTTTGCTCGTATGACTGAAAGAGTCTTTCCAAAAAAGCAGCGACATAGGATGGCCCAAAGAATACTGCAAGCAGCAGGCTCTCCTCATTAAGAAAGGCAATAATCATTCCCTTTCTAAGCAGATATATTTTTAAAGTTTGCACAACACTTTGGAGGAAAAAAGCTATAAAGAGGCAGATCCCAAGATAATGAAGTCATTAGATTTTCTCTAACTTCAGTGGGCTTAAAGCAGGTTACAAGTGAATCCCACTTGACAATATTATATATGCATAAAAAACAACCTATACCACTTGTAAATTGTGCGCGTTATGGGCTTGACATTTGAAAAACAAATCTAGAAGAGTTATTAAGAGTTGTAGTTGTGGAAGTAAAATTAGTGAGAAAAAAGAGCTTGCAAGAAACAGTCTATTACATTTAAATATAATCCATCACAGGTTTTTGGGATGTTGCACAATTCCTTTTGTAAATATGATGCTCTTTCAGGCACCCTGGACCTTTCAAATTTAAGGCTTTACCTTTTCACATCAGAAAGGTATTTACATACTATATATATATTTACATATAAAGTTTCCCAACAGATATCCAATGAGAGTTTCACTTCACAACCTGCTGAAGAGGAACAGTTTCTAATGTAAATATATCTCCCTGTAACAGGATCTAGGACAGGGAGAAAGGGTTGCCAGAACTGGAGAGGGAGGGGGAACTCTATTACTGTCATTCAACTTTGTATGATAATATATCAAACCAGGCAGAGACTTCTGAACAGGGAGTAAATTTAATAACTCAGAGTTGAAGTTATCAGGATGGCTTTAACACATTTCAGAGAAGGTCAACAGTAACCACATTTCCTCCAGCTCTAACTCAGTTAGAATTTAATCGCCTATGAGTTAGTACTCCTCTGTCTTGAATCTATAAAACTGATGGCTGCTGGAAACCCCCTAACTCAGTTAACGTTAACAGAATTTTTTCACATTCCATTATTTGTTATTCCTCATAATTGTCCACGTGCCATGCTGGAATACAGCAGTGCTAATTGCATTTGGGCTCAGGCTTTAACAGCTAAATATATATTAGCAAATCAATCTGAATTTGTGTGTAACACAATCACAGTCCCAGTGGATGTAGATAATAAATTCATTTGCTTACATTATGCTTTAATACAGTTATCATTTGTCAAAATTAGACACTGAAGCTGCATTTGTTTTCATATTAGTTTGGACACTATACTCAACTTTTACACATATATTGTTAGAGTTTACTGTTTTAAATCAAAGCTATAAACTTTGTCACATTTTTGGTTTTTTTAGAGTAACGTGATTCTTTTGTCACAGAAGCAGCTGCTATATTGTGCTGAAAGGTGAATTCAGTTCACACTTGGTAGACAAGGTAGAATGAAACTTTAAATCAGTGCTTACAGCACGGCTGTTTTTCAAATTAGTACCTATGATCTAAACCAAAATAAAGCACACTGATTCTTTCCCCTGCTTCACTGCTTATGGATCAGACCCTTTATAAACACCATAGAGGCTAAGAATAGTTCTAATTTCTTCCTCCAAACATTCATAAGACTCCCCCTTTCCATCATCTCATCCCTTTCTCCATGACACTAGTGTATGAAAGAGATGACAAAATTAAGGACAGCAAAATTTCAACCTTGGAAACTTATCAGAATAAAGCTGTTCATCTCACACCTACCCCACCCCTTCCAGTCTTACTCTTTTACCTCTTCTCACATCCTCCTTCCACATCTCCACTTTCATTAACATTTGTTTCTCCTTTCTCTGCCACGTTACATAGAACTGCTCATACAACTGTGACCTTTGCTATTTCCATTTCTCCATCCTGCATTACTATTTAAGTCTTCAGAATACTTTACAATCTGATACTGAGTGAAGGTGTTGACCACACACACATTGATAAAAATCAAAGCACACAATTTACCAGAATCAAAAACTGGCCCATGGCTCTTTTTCCTTCTGCACTTACCTTCTTGGAAAAAACAGTGCTAGGGGTAAGATTAAGCCACAAGCCAAGCTGTTTCCAAGAAAACACCAAGTGGGAAGCCACATTAATTACCTTCAGCAGATCTAGTTTCAGATGTAGTTCTCCTTGGGTAGAAGAACAGAGGGCCCCAATAATAATGCTCATATATTCTTCGTAGTTGATGACTGATAGCTGCTCCAAGATGCTGAGAGTGGCGCTCCTGTAGCAGTCATCATCCAAAAATATCTTGATATATGGCACCATTCCATAGTCTTTCAGAACAACTGGGGACAAATACGGTATCATTTGTTACTTAAACTATCCTTTACTTGTAGTTTTCACAAGTAGATTTTCAGTTTTGGTGTGAAGTGCTACATTTCTACAAATACAGCAGGAAAGGCAAGAAGAGCTGGTTAAGCTAAAGACAACACAAACTGAATGGCACAAGGGGATAAAATGACTGGATGACAATGGTTTCTAATCAGAGATGACAGCTTCCCAATACAATAATGAATGAAAAGGAAAAGATGCCTTATTAATTTTCAGCTTAAACATCTCTCTAGTTTATGAAAGGGACTGCTTGATAGTTTGAGGCAATATATTTGCACTTTAAGATGCTGCAAACAATGATTCTGGGATTCAAGAGTGAATTAAGTGAGCGGATTCCAGTATTCAAAGAGTTCACTTCTGTATTAGTGTGTTCCACAAGATCCTCCACACACACACCACTTAGGTATGCCAATACTAAATGTATGGGTGTTCCTCAGCATGTATCTGATCTCATCAAGATTTCAAATAATAGATACCATGAAAGAAAATCTGGATGAAGAAACAATACACAACTCACACAGAAAACAAGCTTTCGTTTTCTGTGTAAACACTTCAGGTGTATACACATGGATGAGGGAAGCAGGATGACTACCGGGATAAGGCTCATTATGCAGGATGAGAATATCTTTGCCACGTTTCTTCCTGGCGTAACATTTTATCCCTACACTTCAAGCTTTTGTCCTCCACTTCTCACTGAAGCACAAAAGCTGGAAAATTTGTTGGTGCGCCTTAAGAAGTATTGTGGCCACTTACTCCCAAATATCAAAGGTAATGCAGTAATATGTCATTTCTTACCAGTGTTCCTCACAGAACCCACTGTGAGGGCAGCCACCATCTTCAGCATCACAGCATTTAATTCCTTCTCAGTGCCTTCTTCCAGATCAGACAGATGGATTCCAGCTATCAGTAGATTGAAAGTTGTAATACAATTTATTCAAGATGTGGTTAACTGTAGCTAAAATATATTAAACCAAAAAGGAATACCAGTTCTCCAGCAAATTCCAGTTTTTTCTTAAATAGTACTTACAGGCTACTTGACCCCTAAAATGGGCAACAAAATACAGATAGGGCATTGTCTAGTCATCAGGGTCTAGTTGGTCTAGTCTTCATTGGGAAACACACATCTAATTCTATGCTCTGCAGTCCTGATCTTCTGCATAACTAACAGGCAATACTGGTAATAGTGATGTTTCCAACTTTCCAGCTGATATAGGGTTACCTTTTTAGTGATACCTCGTAGGAACACACACAAATAAAAGAACATTAGAGATTGATCTGCCTATTTCAACAGTGATTGTGAATGACATTAAATTGTACCTGACTTCCTCAGGATCTTGGCTTGCTTCCTCAAAAGTGCCAGCAGTAGGCCTAAGAGCCCAGAGTCACGGAATATGTCACTGAATAACAGGTCCTTCTTGGTCATGCTGAGAAGGCACCGGAGAGCTGTTAAGGTGCAGAACGGCACTACGTTTTCCTTTATCAAATACTGAACCTTCTTCAAAATTTCATGGGGGACATAGGACAGGTCTAGCACTATGGACTCCACCAGTCTGAAGAACTGGACTTGGACTGTGTGTGGTTTGAAATGGATTATGTCAGTAAACTGGTTGATAGGTTGTAATGTCCATTCCAGAAGAAAGAAATTCACTGTGTCCCAGGCCCATATGGTACCAATTGCTGCCAAGATTCTTCCGCACAGGTGTTGATCATTACTCTTCTGGAAAATGGACTGCAACACCTGAAAAGCTTGGAGATTTTTCACTGTTATTCCTGTGGGATAAAAACAGGTGAGATCATTTTTACATCAATGTTATTTAAGACTGCAAGCACCATAACTATAATGGTAAATCATGTCTGAGAGCGGAAATAGGAGTCACAGATATAAAGGATGTGATGTGGAGGCATGTTCTCAACCTTGGATCAGACCTACAGCTGACACAGTCAGTTCAGTTTGATGCAGGTGGCATTCAGGCTCCTGCAGTGTTAAGCACATGAATTAGAAAATACCATCTCATATGCCTTCCTCCATCTTAAGACACATATTGATAGAGCTTCATTTTTCTATGACCCACCTACATAGCCACAGATATATACAGTTATATGGATATACACACACACTGTACCTGAAGACCGTGTCCGTTCAAAATCAAAGTGTGGTAATTGCGGGTGTACAATATTGCCGGAAACTTTCAGTTCAGTTTTTCCACAGGTTGTAAGACAAGTCAGCATGTCCAAGATCTCATGCAGATAGGGGTCTCCTTCATTTTGCTGCAACCCTTCACACCTAGCAACAAAACTTGGGACAGTCATATGTTCATGCCTTAGTAACACAAAATGTTTCTATTGCTAAGTAATACAAACCCACTCCTCTCCAGACTATTTTACTGTCTTTTTGTCTTATTTCTGTGACTTGTTTAATCATCTTACAAACAGAAACTCCACACGATAGTGGCACATTCTGAATCAGAACAGAACTTACAAATTGAAGAAGAAAATTGAAGTGAGACTGTAAGAATCTTCTGAAAAATAAAGTAAATGTTGGAATTTTGTCCAGTTACTTGTACTTAAAAAAAAGTAATCATCTCCAAAAGAATGCCTGTTTTGGGGAGTAAATAAAGTTTGTGAGAGATCAAAAAATTAAAACAGACACTTCACATTAAAAAGGTAGGCATATGGTTGGCAAGGCAAGGTAGTTGCTAACTGAGACAAATAATAGAAAAAACTCAGCCCTTAGGAAGGGAGAAATATTGCATTGCCCAAGCTTTGAGAATCAAACATGAAGACAGCATGTCTCTCATATAAGGAAATAGTTTGAACTGTAATCCCAGATTTGCTATAGTTTAGACTGAAGTGACAGTATGTCAAAGAGCAGAAATTTCCTCTTCTGTACTGATTAGAGGCATCAATTCTTAAGGAAAACTGCAGTATCTCAGCATAGCAGCTGAGCAGTAGATTGACACTGGAAGTTAGGAAAATGTCAGAAGAAAACAAAAAAAAAAGTTCTGTTTTAATCTAAACAAGGCAAAAAAAAAGGGGGTCAGGGCAAATGCTAGTATTCATTTTGGCAGGAAAAAGTGCGATCAGCAAGATTCTTTTTACCTTGGAAAAAGAAATTCCAAGCATCAGAGAAGACAAAATCTTGACACACAACACATTCAGGAAAGAAGCTCTCTGTCTATCCCTTTCTGCCAGTATGTGCTAGAAAGGGAGGCTAATCTGAAGCCCTGAACACCTGTGTGCCATTTCTGTCTTTCCAGATTAGTTACATCAGTTAAAAAGGACAGGGGCAGTCAGAGCCCTTGCTGATAAAGATCTATTTCTGTCCTTATATGGAAAAATTTCCTCAGAAATATACATCTCAAGACAGTTTATTTATAAGAGAAAGCTAGACAATCTAAGGTAACTAAAAAAAAACACTGCCAGAAAAAGACAAAACTTTTTCCAACTGTAGGATCAGAAACCACACTCTCAGATATCTTTGGATTCATGATTAAAATTACAACCCTCTAGATCCAAATTACAAAATACCCTCCCTAGCTGACTGCATTCCTGGATCGAGTTCACCTTAACTGAGACAAATGCCTCTGACCTACATCCCTTCTAATACTAATTGATGAAGAACATTTGCCTTGTGTTCAATAAGTCCCTATCCCACCTGTAGACTAACTTCTCCTACCATTAATTTCCTCTACAGTTTCAGTATAAGTTATGTATTACTTTATTCTTCTGAAAACAGCAATGAAAGACCCAAGATCTGGGTCTTTATTACTGGCTTTATATCCACACAGGATTACCTACATGACTCATATTTTAAAACAGACCACCATGCATTCTGAAAATTTTTACCATCCTCTAGAAGCCCACTAAAAGCCTCTCTACTTACCTGAGTAAAATTTTTAGCAGGAGTTGGTAGCCATCATTATTTTCAAACTCTGTTAATAAAGCTGATGATATGGGATAGGAATCTTTCACAAAGCACAAGACAATACTAGCAGCCTCACACACATCACAAGCAGGTAGGGTATCAGCCAGTTTAAAGAGATTCTGAATAGCTATTTTAATGCAGTCTACAGCTGTGGAAAAAAATACAGCAAGTATTTAAGAAGTTACTCACAAAAACAGAACAACAAGTTTGAAAAGTTATTTCCCAGTAAAATAGGAGTCAGTTAACTCTTTCTAGAAAGAAAAGACAAGAGGATATATGAACATCGCACTCATCTCAGAGGCTACACAAATAACATTTCTGGTTTTAAAGTATACATGCATTTATTTGCTTAAACCTCAGAAGCTGATTCAGTCTTAGGAGTATAAACTTCTAACCTACCCACTCACCAAAAAATCACATACAGTGAATCCAGCTGTCTGAGTACAAGGTAAGCAGAGGCTGACATATTTAACTGTCTTGTACTAAGTCAATCACACATTCTGTGCAGAGTTCACAGATTAATTCTCTGCTCAGTGAGGCATATGTGATGGGGTATACACATCTTGTTCCAAGCAATAAAGCCTAGTTTTCTTGTGTGATCTCATGGCCAGTCCTTTCAGGACAGCTTCAAAATGTCTAAACAGTTCAGTACTCTCAGAACTATTATTCCTCAGTCTTTCAATCTCACTTAGGAAGACAAATTTTTATTTTAAAAAATAAAAATACCTATATGCAGTTACTCCTTGACAAGGAATACTGACAGTAAAGTGTGGATTATAAAACTTTTTTTTTTCCTTCTAAGAAATTGAGACTCATGGCCTTTGCACTTCTCAATAACAAAAAAAAATTGCTTACTTTAATAAAGCCTAGGAAGAAATGAGGATGTAACTCAACTGATCATGACGTTGTCCCAAAAGATACTGTTCCTCTGGCAGTACGCCTCAACTTTTTATTTAGAGTGTGCATAAGCCTTAGGTTCATGCGTTGAGTCACACAACTTAAAAAAACCCAACGTAATACAACTTGTCCTTGGCTACATTAGTGTGATCAGGTGGGATTAGCTCTTGCTTGTACTTCCATTTTTTTGTGTAGAAGAAAACTTCTGTTTCCAGATGGTTATCAGTACTAAATAAAGCTCCTTTCTAGAAAGCCAAGAGCCAATGCTTTGCAGTTGACTGACTACCAGATGATGTAGACATAAAAACCTATGCCAGGGAGACTCTTCTTGTGAATTCATTCTCAGCGGAGCTATGAGGAAAGGAGAAGCCAAATTATTAAACCAAACCTTGTAGGTACACAATGCTGTTTTTTGTCTGAGCCTTTGAAATTGTTCTCAGCACACGGCCAGTTGGTACTTTCCATGAGTGGCTACATTGGTTCCAGAGGGAAGCAGTTGCTATAATTAATGACTGAAGTTTATCAGCTGCCAGAAGTTCCTCTACACCTTGTTCCTCTCTGTACATGTTAAGCATTATCTGAAAAGCAAACAAAAATCAGCAACAATAAACACCTCTACAAATATCTGAGAGATGAATAAAAATCTATTGGGGTGGGGCGATTGTACTTTGACACTAACATCAGGAGAAAGGATGCAGTGAAATGAACAAATAAAACTACCACTAGGATATTCTCAATGGATTTTTTTCCCATTTACAAAATCATGTTGTTTTCTTTAACAAAAAAATAAGAGACACAGTGACATCATCTCAGATTGTTTTGTACTGCTCCTGATGTTTGTTCAATGGTTTTCAGTTTTTTGTCAGTTTGAATCAATCAACAGCTAAAAGTCTAAGTGAACATCTGAGTACTCAGGGTAAATGAACTCCCAGAGGTACATCTCACCTTAACAAGCATTTCCTGAGTTTGGATGTCATCTTCACTTGTCTCTCCATCATCACTGGTTTTCTTCAGAGGAAAAGTGAAGAAAAGGTACAGGCACTGGATCAGAGCAGCTGGAAGGCCAGATCCAATGATGTTCCACGTAGTTCTCTAAGAAAGGAAAATAAAAATCCGCCCCTGCAGAAGCTGACCACACTTTCCTTGTGTTTCTACACACTGACTGTAGTCATGGCAGATGAAAGAGCTACTTGAGTATTTTATTCTTACAAGTGCTATAGGGCACACAAGCTTAGCAATCACTTAGCATGGCTGTACAAATCCACTTGGCACACTGACTGTGTTGCCATAGCTGTTCCCAGGACTTCCCACTCCAGCTGAACTACTGCTGTGACAGAGATACTATGCCCTGCATATGGAGACCTACAGTCAATAAAGCACACAACCTGCAAACTAACTAGCAGCTAAAAATAGCAGTAAGTCCAGTGGCAGACATGCCCCTTTTGTTATATAGTTCACAGGACACCCTGCAGCTATAGAGACCTGGTACGTTAAAACCATGAGTTCTCCATTCCCTCCTTGACCCAGCATAGCACCAATTTATCTATAACACCTTTGCTTTCATAACCTATTGAATAACTGTACACATTCTAATTACAGCTAATCAAAAATCCACAGCAAATTAAACAGAAGAGTGAGGTTTGTGATATGAAGTTTTGTGAGTGTGCGCTACAAAAAATAGCAATGTCTTAAATCTGTGAAAAACACAAACCTCAACAAGAACTTCATGCTGTGAGTAACTGTATATAATTTTATAGAGCTCCTTATGATGCAGAACATGTCCACTAGAAGCTGACAGTAAAATTTTATTTTCATGTATCTGTTTTATTTTCATGTATCTGAATAGGGATGAGACAAACTGCTCAGCAAAATGGCAGGGATAAACGCACCCCCGATGCCCATCAGCAGACTGTACTGCTGATGTCAGTCTGCATTCAGGATGGCTGTACAAGTAGAGTTCATGAGATGCTTTGAAATGCTTCAAAGTGAGAGGCTACCAGGATGCAAAATCCAACCACTGCATTACCAGACAGACATATCCTTACTAGTCATCTTTTTGATACATAAACTGGAGTGACAAAGAAAAGCTGAAGAGCAGTGATACACAATGGAAAAAAAGATAAACCAGAGGAAAACTAGAAAAGCAGCTGCCTGATGATCAAAACAAAAAGGGTATCTGAAAGCACAGAGCGCTTACTTCTCTCTTTTAGAAAAGCCTGGGCTACAACCTGGTGGTATGTCCTTCATCTGACTGTATACCCTGGGCATGCTGAAGCACAAAGCACTGGGGATAACGCAAACATTATGAGACTTAGGTGTTCCACGATTGGGGTGGCTACCCAGCTTCTCTGAAATAAAAAGGAAAAAAACAAAACAAGACACAAAAAACCCAACCCTTTGTAGTCATTTGTCTTACCAAGTCAGTCTGTGAGAGCAGGTACACTGATTTCAGGAGCAAACGGCCATCTTCTGCTTCCCCTTTCTGTTGTAGCAATTGCTCCAAAGCCAGACGAGCTTCCTCTGTTACCACAAAAACATTAAATTTTAATTCCTTAATGAGAGTAAATTGCCACATTGATACTTTCTTAACAGATCTGACAAACAAAATTACAGTAGCAGGAGTCCCCTCAAGTGAATAAAAGGACAGAAAAAGATTTTGATCCAGCATAAGGCTCAGGTCAGTTCATGTAAACTACATGTTTCAAACTGACAAGCTTCTCAGGGAATACCAGCTCAGGCCATGAAGTCTGCCAGCTGACCAGTGCTAAGAATGTACAACAGCCACCAGGAAAGCCGTGTGTGGCTAGCAGTATTTTTTGCATTAAAGAAAGCTCCTCAGAATAGGCTTAAAGGCTGAGAGTTGGGGTTGTTCAGGCTGGAGAAGAATAGGCTCTGGGAAGACCTTATTGCAGCCTGCCAGTACTTAAAGAGGGCTGATAAGAAAGATGGGGACAGGCTTTTTAGGAGGGCCTGTTGTGACAGGACAAAGAGTAATGGTTTTAAACTAAAAGAAGGTAGATTTAGACTAGATACAAGGTAGAAATTTTTCACAATGAGGGTGGTGAAACACTGGCACAGGTTGCCCAGAGAGGTGATAGATGCCCTGACCCTGGAAACATTCCAGATCAAGTTGAACAGGGCTCTGAGCAACCTGATCTAGTTGAAGGTGTCCCTGCTCATTGCAGGGGTGTTGGACTAGATGACCTTTAAAGGTCCCTTTCAACCCTATGATTCTATGGTTCTGTGATAGTGTGTCATCTACTATCTTACTACATAACTGCAGTGTTACAACTTTCCAGCTACAAAAGTTCCAAAACAGCAGTCAGCACGGCATACAAGGCCAGACCTTCAGTGCAGTCATCCAAAACCAGTGCTAGCTCACACCTAGTAAAAGATCTGGCTTGCTACACTTTGCCTGTTCCCATTCTCCCTTTTTTTCCGTCATGGTAAGCACAGAGGACAGCTGAATGACAACGCATTCCCAGAATTAGTGGGTCCACTGGGTATGGTATGGGATCATTACCTGCAGGTTTGCCATTGAGGTTCCTCTTAATTTCTTTTGTCAGAAGCTTGGAAACCTCACTGGCTAACAGCTGAATGTTGGGGAATACGATTACTCCAGCAGACTGTTCCCAGGCCTGAAATCCAAGTGTAACTGTTAAGTGTTTCTGATGCAGAATGTCGTTGGTAGATTGAGAAGTACTAATAAATACAAATAAACAAACATAAAAATAACATTCCTCTGCAAAATTCCTTGCCCAGCCAGTGTAGTCCATTAAGCGGTATTTGTCAGACAAGCCACAGTGTGACACTACAGATACAGAAGTCAACTTACTTTTTGAATCATGTAATGCACCTACTAGAGAGCATTTACATTATTTTCTCCGTTGAATACAATCAAAACAATGTAAATGTTTGTCATAGCCCCTGTGTCACTAATTTGTATCAAAAAGCATGTTAGTCCCTTTTAAAATACAACATAAACACTATGTACCCTGAAGAGGTTACAGCTACAGTGGTCCAAGAATTTTTCAGTAGAAGTATATCCTTCTCCAAAGGCAGCTCTCCTCCAAACTAAAGCTAGTCATAAACAAAACTTAAGCTTTCAATTTAATACAAAAATAAAAATTAAAATTGTATTTTTTCTGCTGAGCACATCGTTGCACAGTCTCAGCTACTTAGAGACTGAGATAGGACTGAAACTGCTGCTCTCGTGGAGCATTTGCAACAGATCTAGAAAAAAAGCCCCACAGTAATACAGGACTACTGCTCCCAGGTAGCAATATACTGGCCAAGATTCACTTGAAAATGAACTATTTATTTCAAGTCAATAGATTTATAAAAATCACAGAAGGAACAAACTCACTCCTTTGGGTTTTGTTTTGGGTTGTGGTTCATTGTTGGTGGTGGTTTTTTTAATACATTCACAAAGTTTCTGCTTTTCAATTCTACTCTATTTGGGAGGAAAGTAAGGCTCATAAAATCAGCATTTCTTACTGAATAGAAATAATCTTTGTTGCAAAGTAAGAAAATAGAAGAAAACATGGGGATAGGAGCTGAAAAAACAGCAATATTCTAGCCCAAAAGGTACTGGATGTGATTCTGTAGCAATATGAGTTGCCTAACCCACCTGCATATGAGGTTAAGAGGCTATGAGGCTACCAGGCCTGGAATGACAACCCTGTATGGCTAGGAATTTACAACATTACAAGCTACCTTACATCATGAAAACAGATTGGTGCTAATATCGGAAAAGATGCACTTCTAAAATGCTGAGATGATGACAGTAAATGTTTACCAGATCAGCATTTCTAAACATTTCCTATGCTATAATAAGGACCCCTAAATGGGAAGGTAGAGTCCTAAATGCATAGCTAGCCAAGGAAAACAAATTTATAGACAAGTTTATAAACAATTTATAAATTACTTTATAAATTACTTGATCAAGAACGGAGAAGCAATTCAATGCAAAACCGACAAGGGAAACAGCAGCAAGACTTGATGGTTCCCTGGTCTGAGTCTAACAAACAGGTCCTCTCTCAGATGTTTCTTAGCCTTGACTTTGGGGAAAAAAAAAATCCAAAAGCAATAAAAAAAAACATTCCAGTAGACTAATACTGTTGCACCCAACTGGACTCTGAAAATCAGGTACCATTACTTTTATATAGAACATCTGATGCTACACACGTCAATGTATTAGCAATAGTGCAATATTCACCTCTAAATACCAGGCTGAGACACCTGTCCCCAGCAAACCTGAAAATTTTCTTTACAAAAGTGTTGTCCTTCTAAAATCTCAGAAAAATAAAGGTGTAAGGCCAGATGATGAAAGGAAGGTAACAAAAATAATAAGACATCTGTTCTCCTGAAGTAATTTGGAGCAGACACCACATAATACTGCCTGCCAAGAAATCAGTGCAACTCTTTGTGAAAGAAGATCCTCTGTAAACATTATTTCCTTCCCTACCATTGCTTTCAATTACTTGTTCTTTCTCTGCTGATGGAAGCGTGTGGACAAGCTATTTCTTTCCCACAAAGTGCCAGTTGTCTGTTGGCAATCAGGCAAGCACCTACTTTTTGCTTCAGTTTACTGCATTGACCTCTGGAACTGCATTCAATTATTTTTCTGGGCTACAAAAAGAGTGAAATGTAATTGCACAGTGTGCCTATTAATTAGTTTTCAATCAATCAACAATATTAAGAAAACAAGCTAGTAGTTTTCAGATTTTGACCATGAATTATTTTTCAGAGACCCTCAGTTGCAGAAGCAAGGTCCACTGATTCCTCCACTTCTGATGCAGAAATGAGGGAAGATCTGTAAGGAACAGAAGCAAGCGGGGCACACACAATGACAAGAAACCCATAGCCACTTAAGAATATACAGTGTTTGTCATTAATGTTTGTCACCCTTTTTCAGAAGAAAGCGGTGATAGATTCCTGTCCCTCTGCCTCAAAGAGGAACACCCTCTGAACACTTCAGAAAGGACCTGTTACACTCTTCTGCTAACAGAAAGAGCAGGATAATTTTTAGTTCAGACCATACACAGCAGAGAGCAGTAATCCAAGGTTCATAGCAATGCTACCATTGTGCAAATATTATGCTAGTCCATCTCACTACAGACCAGGCCACTAGTGTTCTGACTTTATTTTATAGGTGATCTTCCTGCGGGTCAGACACCATCCTCTGGAATATGCTCTCCTTTACAAGCAGATCTAATCAGTCCCATATCCATCTTTAAGCCTATAACAGATATGTATCTGGAAAAATATCAACCTGACTCTACTCCAGGATGTCTGCCTTCAGGGGAAACTCAAATAATATTGTATCAATGTAATCTGATTTCCCCCTCTTCCTCTTAAGCCTGTTTCTACATGTTTAAGATTCTGCCACAAGTTCCCTGTGTCTGCTGTTGCCATCTGTTCTTCTTATTCCATGCTTCATGGAGAGATGCTAGCTCAAAAGCCACCCATGTAATAGAGCATTCTGATACTTTCTGAGGCACCAAGAGGGAAGATACAAGAGGGCACATTAAAATGACTGCTAGCCTAGGCCTGAATCACAGGCAGATGGCTAACATTTTCCTCCTACACATTTTCCTTCTACATCAAGAAGCACCAGTGAGTAATGAGCCCCCACACCCGAGGTGGGTCCTGGACAATGCGTTCTCTCTCCAGCCAACTAAGACCTAAAACACTCTAAGACAAAAAGACAGAGATGCACTGGCATCTGTGTGATCAAACAAGGAAAGGAAAAGCAAAAGATGGAAGTCTTCCAAGGAGGAAAACAACTTATGCAGAGTCCCTTGTTAAACAGGAGGAAGTGAGGTAGTTTCTGTAAGAACTTCGTAACATGTATAACTCATATGCGCTTCCCCAAGCCAGCCCTGGGGCTTAGCAGAAACCAGAAGGCTGGTACATGAAGGGAGTAAAAGTCATATGGGGAAGAACATGATGACTCAAAGCTAAAGGGCCAGATCCTCCACAATGTACTCCTGAGTCAATGATGCAAGGCCAAAATGCTCTGGCTACACATCTGAACCCAAATGCCTACAAAGTACTGCAAAGCTTCACTGATACATCTAAGAAAAGTGAAGGGGAAGAAGGAGGCACAAAATCAAGTCTTAAGCTAATGAGAAATTCACATGTCCATTCTGAATATACTCTGTATCCAAAATGTCCTTTAGGAATTTAAAATCCTCTCTGCAAGCCCTACTGCAATTCAGGAAATCACTTTCTACAACATTAACACATGTGAAGTTCAGCCCTACAGAAGGGAAACACATGATGGGTATGCTTATGCACAACACTGCCAGTCCCTTAGCAATACTGAGCTTGCCTTCTGGGGAATAGCTGTCCTTTGACCCACTGGTACTAAAGTTTATTTCACATGTGTCATGATAAATAAGCAATTTCCTGCTTTGCTGTCCAAATTTTAATTCCTAAGCGTTCTAGATTTTGTAGCTTTCATCACCTTTTTTCAGTAACAACTTCCTCAGTCCTTTGAAACTTTCGCTGCAAAAAATGACATTTGCATGGAAGGCATTCTTGTTATTCATACCTAGTTAATTATCAGCAAATCTGAAGTTGTTCTATATAATCCCATCTCACCAAGACTTGTTTACTTCATGTCCACTACATGGTATTCAAAAATTAAAGCTGCAACAGAACTCAAAAACCTTGAGATCTGAGAATTTCAATTTCATTGTAAATTTGAGGCAGAAAAACCTCAACAGAAGAATTTCACGAAAAGCCTGCAATACATTGCTTACAAGAGGGGGAGTATGCAGTTTGGAGAGACTGTCTTCCACAGCAAAGCCTATCTTTGGAATTCATTTGTACCCTCAAAGCATTAAGGATGTATGTTTTCCATGGAGCTTCAAGAGGAAGGAAGGCAGGAGGTCTGAAAACCAGCTGTAGGAAAAGCAGAGTAGATGGCTCTTGCTCCAAGCAAAAAGGTTGTATCTTGTTGCCACGCTGTCTCAGAAAAAGAACAGTGCAATTTAAAAAGCAGGCCCATGGAATAAGAAGGTGCCCCCCTAAAAGAAAACTGTCAGATATCAGTCCTGATCTGACTTTGAAGAGCATTCTTTGAAGGCTGAGGAAGGAACACTGCCCCTTTGTGAAGCCAGAATTTCTGTGAGCCAATAAAGTGGTGGTGAGCTCCCAGAAGGGCCAAGTCTGCTCCAGCACATGTAGTGCCATATGCAGAGAGAGAGATTAGTTTCCAGTGACAGGCACATATGCAGAGCAACAGCTCTTCTGCTCAAATATAGCCTTCAGTTCAGGAGAGACACTGTTCTATGCAAACAAATCCAGAAGCTGAGACAAAGTGGTGAAAAGTGAAAGCTTTGTTCAGTAATCATAAAATCTGTAAGGCCATTTAGATCAAATGAGAAGGCTTCTTCTGAGACTCCAGGCTACACACTCACTGCCTTTTCAGACCCTTCCATTCATTTTATCTGCACTGCCTTGGGCCAGGGCAAGCTTGTACTCAAACACAGCAAGCTCTTCACCATAGACATCACCAGATCTTACCCTCAAGTAAACTGTTTGCATCACATTGACACTAATGAGTGACCTGCTTCAGTGCTGTTAACTGACACCAGCACCTATAGCGATTTCAAAGTCCTGCTCTGCACCAGGACTTGCAAGCTTCACAAATTCATGCTCCATTCAGCTCAGTGAAATGTTTATGACTATCTGGAAGTTATTGCTGCTTTACTGTAATGGACAGCAAAGATTTCATACCCCTGAGCACAGTGATTTCCCTGCACACACAGTTCAAAATGTCCCTCTCACTACAGAGTATCACTTTTTATGTCCCACAATTCTTCCATAGAGACAGAGTGACCATGTCATTAATATTTTTTTCTCACCTATCCACTGACTTTTTTCAGAAAACCAGCTCAGCTAGGTAGGGAACAGATGGATCTGAGTTTGGTCACTCAAGAACACTCAAAACTCACAAGTACAGATGGCTGAAATATGCCATAATTGAAATATGGTTTCACCAAAAAGAAGCTTTTGTTTTCCTTCTGAAAGACTTACATAGTGAGAGAACGTAAAAACACAGATTCCATACCCATAAATACCCAATTCAGGAGAAAAACAATTCTTCTGTACTACAACATGGCCAAAGTACATTTAAAGATAAGCCAGGTTTCCTGCTCCACTCAGTATAAGCTCTGCCATTCTGTCACTGTATGGTCCACTCAAAAAGTTCCCTGTACATTTCACACACTCTAGCAAACAAAACCAGCCCATAAGGCTCCCATTCATTACAAAGCTCTTTCAGCTTCACCCTTCAATATGGCCATCTCAGAAATTGTTGGCTGATGGAAGATCTAGGGCATGGGGTAGGGCAGCCTGCTAACTAAACTGTTCTAGTTCTCAGCTGTGTCCCTTACCCACAGTACAACCTTCCCCTCCTCATGCCACAGTTCCCCCATCTATAAGACAACTCCTCTCTCAAGCCCTAAAATTAGACATCAGCACTGTCATTAACCCAAAAACTCCGTCTTAAGACTGTACCCCTGCATTTCCCCTAGCTGGCTGCATGCCACAGCCACATTTTCACAGACTGAAACTGTGGTCAGCCCACTACTAAGTAACAAAATAGACACAGCAGACATGAAGTGGCCTCTTCACAGGGTACTCACTTTTGAAACATGCCTGTCTCATCAACATATCCCTTGACTCCAACAATAGAATTTAGCCATTCATGAAAATAAAGCAGTACTCCCCCATATACTTTTCTCATGCTAACACAGCAGTTTAGTTAAAGGAGGACAAGAAACTGTTTTGCCAGGCTCTCAATGGAATAAAAGTAATTATCACCTAGACAAATGGATCATGCTCCAATTAACTCCACTAGCAGCGCAGGTGACCACAATGGATACAGCAACAGAAACTCAAATTTACATCCTTGTCATCTGCCCCAAAGTTAACAAGGAGAACAAACCTTTAAGAAGAGGGGAAGAAAGTCCAGAAGCCTTCTCTGCTGCTCCTCTGGGATTAGAAATGGAGCCACCTGCTCATACTCTACAAACTGTCTGCCTAGACTCTCCCACTGGAGGGTATGGCTCTGGGGTGGTTTGTCCTTGCTGTGTGCAGGCTGTCCTGGCACTTCTGCTTTGTCTCCATCATCAGGGCTTTGCTCTTGCTGTCCTGCTTTGCCAGGTGACTCCTCCAGCTGCCACTTGAGTTCAGCTCCTTTGTCCATGCTGAAATGAGACCTGAAATTAAAGATACTGCATTATTTACAGTTAGCATCATCTCTTACTAGTCAACTGTCCCATGAAATTAGACACTGGCAGCCTTAACTACTAGAGTTGGGGAGTTCAGAAGTATGGAAACGCTGGCAGTCACTGACTCTTATCCAATTCTGATGGCAAACCACTCTGCTCCTGGACAAGACCATTACCACCTTGCGATCATGTGAACAAGCTCTCTCCCATGAGACATGTGTGCATGTGCTACACAACTCATCTGAGCTTTGGCAGGACAAACTGCTAAACCATGCAGTAAGTCTGGATTCCAGCCCCAGCTTTGCCACTGAGCCAGATCCTCTCCCTTGTACTTCAGTCACCCCAACTGTAAAACAAGTCATAACTACATCATCAGATCTGACACAGAAGAGCACTACCTAAGTGCCTGGTTACACATTTCATTGAGTACGGATGCTGAACTAAGCGGCACTTCTCTGACGCATTCCCTGCCTAGAGTGGGGTTGAAGCACTGGCTGGAACAGGAGCTGTATGGAAAAGCCAAGAATGTCCCACATAGGTGTTCTGGCCCGAAAAGGCAGCAACATTCAGGTCTTCTATCCTGCAGATATACAGCTCTGTACAAGAGGTAGATATTTTCACTACATAACCTGTTTCTCAGATCCTGTAAACTGAAATGGATATGCCTGAATGAAGGAGCAAGGTGCTTCTAGCAGCCTCATTTCCATCAAATTGAGCCTACAATGGGTTCATCTTGCACTATAGGTAGAGGAATCCTTCTGGTACATTCATCTCAACCCCAAGTCCTCTTATCTACTTTCCAGCCCTGTTTTCACCCATAGTCTTCTGAGAGGTCATTGACCCAGCCTTGAATCCACAGTAATCCTATTTCTTTGCTATAGCCTTCTGTGTGCTCACCCTGCTACCCAGAGAGTACGTAATGACAATACTTACACCAATGGAAATTCAGGCTTCTCCAGTTTCCATCAAAATCAGCCATAAGCTTATTGGTGTCTAGGACATCACCTAACTACTCAAAATATGACACACGTAAATTATCACAGTGTAGGCAGGCAGCTGGGGAGTCGTCACCAAGATGAACATAGCTCACTATTTTAATTACCAAATATATTGTCTTTTAAGAACCTAGAAGAATCTTTAATACAGCATTACACCCACTCAAAAAAAACCACCAGTGTACCTCCATTTCCAGGAAATAGATTCCTTCCCTACCAGTGTGTCTCTGATTGCCATTCTAGCTTGTCAATAAAAATGCCAAAAAGCAAGTGTAACTAAAAAATCGAGTCAGGTCTCCTGCACTACCAATACACGCACCCCTTAAAATACATTTTAAAAAAGACTATTACGAGCTTGGTTTAGAAATCATGAGCCAACACTAATACTGTATTTATGATTCTCTTCCTTCGCCATCCATCAGTTACACAGCTTGCTTACTGCTTGCATCCTGCCCAGTCCTAGCCAGATGAACCAGTTTCACTTCCACACTCACACAGTAGCTCTATCACAGAATCATTAAGGTCAGAAAAGTCCTTTAAGATCATCAAGTCCAACCATCAACCCAACACCACCATGCCCACTAAACCACATCCCAAAGTGCCCCATCTACGTGTTTTTTGAATACTTTCAGTGATGGTGACTCCACCACCTCCCTGGGCAGCCTGTTCCAATGTTTCATCACTCTCTCAGTAAAGAAATTTTTCCTAATATTCAGTCTAAACGTCCCCTTGCACAACTTGAGGCCATTTCCTCTCGTCCTATTGCTAGTTACTTGGGAGAAGAGATCAATACCCACCTCACCACAACCCTCTTTCAGGCAGTTGTACAGAGCGATAAGGTCTCCCCTCAGACTCCTCCAGACTGAATAACCCCAGTTCCCTCAGCTGCTCCTCACAAGACTTGTGCTCCAGACCCCTCACCAGCTTTGTTGCCCTTCTTTGGACACACTCCAGCAACTTGATATCCTTCTTTTAGTGAGGGGCCCAAAATTGAACACAGGATTTGAGGTGCAGCCTCACCAGTGCCGAGTACAGGGGTACAATCACTTCCCTACTCCTGCTGGCCACACTATTTCTGATACAGGCCAGGATGCTGTTGGCCTTCTTGGCCACCTGGGCACACGGCTGGCTCATATTCAGCCGGCTGTCAACCAGCACCCCCAGGTCCTCTTCTGCTGGGCAGCTTTCCAGCCACTCCTCCCCAAGCCTGTAGTGTTGCATGGGGTTGTTGTGACTGAAGTGCAGGACTCGGCACTTGGCCTTATTAAACCTCATACAATTGACCTCAGCCCATCAATCCAGCCTGTCCAGACTCCTCTGGGGGTCTCACCAGGAGCGCGCTCTGCCGGCTGGGAGGGAGCTGGCGCACCCTCTCTCTCTCCCTGCGCTTTTGCTGCTTTAGGAAGGGTCCCCCAGCACGATCCTCCACGCTGGAGCCCTTTGCCTTGGTGGCTATACAGCAGAGGTGAAGAGGGTGACATTATCTTGTCACTGTGCACCACACCACCTGCAGCAAGCTGATGGTCCCAGCAGACAGCTACGCTTGGATGCAGCTGCTGATCCTTCACACTACAGCAGAAGGTAACTTCTACCACAGAGCATACTCCATTCTTCGCTAGGAGATGGAGGACTATGATATTTTGATCAGTCTCCAGGGATGTCAATCTGGAACTTCCTATCTGAACAACATTTTGTGTTTTGCTGCTGTTGTTTTTCTTAATTATCTGTGTTAAGACAACACAGCCCTGTGAGCAGAAAAAGCATGATGCCTGTCTGCACAGAGTAAACAGGAAGACTCTGTTCCTCATGACTGTGTGGGAGTTGCATTTGTCATATGTTATACTTAACCCTGGTATGGGATTTTGGCCCACTTGAGTCATAGTGAAGCTGTACAGTGTGTTGAGAAAGCCTGGGTACTGTTCTAGGGGATTCAGTGAGCATAGTTCAGAGTTACTTTTTCAAAGAAGCTGCTCTCACATCCCAGATGGCACCATTCTCTTTCTAAACGAAATCTCTCACTTTGGAAGCTACTCTGCTAAGCCTAAATCAATGCTAAGTAAACAAGAAACGCACTCCCAGTCCCTACATTCACCTTGGTCATTTGTATAGAGAAGCCCAAAATCCTTTACAGAGGCATTTTACAGATGGTGAAACTGAGGCATGGGGAGGTGAAATGAAGTGCTTATGCTGGCCTCAGAAGGTCAGTTACTGACCAGTCAATGGCATTGCTTGAACTGCACAGCACTGGATGGCACTGCAAATGTGTTTGCCAGTTTTCTCTCTTTCTATTCATAATTCACTTAAGCAGACCTTTCTTGCTGGTGGCACGGCTAAGCCAAGCAGGGCTGGTCACTCAAAAAATTCTCACTCTGTGAATCTATGTAATGAAAGAATTCTTCCCCTCTCCACATAAACTATTAAAACCAGTTATGCACATGCAACTTCATTAACGAAGGCCTAATTGTAGCAGACTATGTAAGACATTTAAGTGTACATGCAAATCTTTAAATGAAAAATCTTACATGAAAGCAAAATGAGGATTATGATTTGCCCCCTTATTTACTGCAATCGTCTAGACTACAAGAGGCACATTAGACTAAATATCAGTCCTCTAGTATTAGTCTATTGTCTCCACTTGCACTATCTGCTTTAAATATTCCTTCTCCTAATAACCTTTTCTTGCATCTACAATTTAATTTGGACTTCTAAATCTTTTGCGTTTTCTGTTCCTCTTGGAGGATAATTATTCTTCCAGACTAATCACAATATCACAGGGTCCAGCATTCAAGTATCTTTGGCATTAAGGATAGCTTAGATATTTTGAAAAAGTCTTATATGCTGGCTCTCTTCTACACCCCACCATTTTCCCTGATCCTTAGTGTAAATTAATGGCTTATATCAGTTTTGATAAGTTATAAATATCACAATGATACAAAAAATAAAGTCCATATAATAAATATTTTAAAAGACAAGAAAGTGAAAATAGATCATATAAACATGATGCTATCATTCAGAAAGTGGTGTCAGGTAACAGAGAGGAAGTGGAACTTGTTCGTGTATTTTTCCTTTTGTTCTAAATGAAGCTTGTGTGAAATCACACTGCAATGTGGTTACGCCTTTTCAGACTGCTAAGACAAAAAGGAAGAAAGGCCTGACCAAAGCTGGCAGAAGGACAGGCAGAACTTTGATACTAAAAGCTTACTGGTGGAACAAGCATCATTTTTTAAATGACATTGTAATTATATTTATCTGGGATTAGCTCCCCTAGCATGGATGGAATGATTCCATACAGCTACAAAATCCCAATTTGCACCAAGATCAAATATTTTACTTATAAACTTAAAATAATTTGTTATCAGAGAAGGCTCTCATGGCAAGAGGGTTGACCAAAATACAAATCAAGTCTCATACCAAATTTCAGAGTTTCATCCACTTTTTATGGTAAGTAGCTGCAAAAAATATGACATTTGAGCATACATGGAAATCTTTAATCTCCAAAAGTACATGAAAGCAAAATGAGGACTCCAATTCATCTCTTATTTACTCCAAAGGTACAGATGACAAATGGCATATTAGACTAAATATCAAACCCCTAGTACTAGGACTACTTTAAATATTAGTTCTCCTCATAGCCTTTTCTTGACCATTAAACCCCAGGATTCTGGTGACTATCAGAAACATACTTCTCACAGCACCCCAAAAATCCACTGTGTGATACCTCCTTATACCCACTTCCTTTCCTTGGCAACCAAGACAAATCTGTTCATTAAACAGTCATGCCAGTCAACTATTTTAAATGCTAAAAACATGGATTCCAGTACCTCCCCAGGAAAGCTGTCTGATGCTGTAACAGACGTGAGCAGTAGAAGGCATTGTTTGTTTCTTTTATGAACCATTTTATCTCACAAATTCTAGTGCTCTCCCAATTCAATCACAGGCTCCCTCTTCGTAGCTCATGCCACTCTGTGCTCTCAGCAAAT